TAAAACTCCTCCTTAGACACCTCAGCACCTGGAGTGAGTCTACAGCCTGTGTGAGGGAGCGAGACGTCCTAGCTCCGGCTTCCCCTTGACAGCTGGAGATGGTGGCTGCCCTGCCCTGCTTTACGTCTTTGCAGCTCCTTACTGCCTACTGATCTGAGAAAGGCAACCAGGGGCCTCGCAAAGGCTTGGGGGGTTCATTATCTTCCCAAATAATGTCGCTGTCCTCCTGCCTGCTATACTCCGGACCAGCCCCCATCGATGAGTTTCTTCAACAGCCAGAGTCACAACATTGTTGAGCACTGCCATGTATTGAGCACTTGGAACACAGCAGGGAACAAGATTGCAGGGTTCCTTCCTCATGGGATTTGCCACCGTGTGCATGCATGATAGAAAATCAGACAGCTGCACAAGTAGTAAACTGAAGGTTTTGGTTGCACAGGGGCATTCCTGCACTGTAACATCCCCCAAATAGCTCTTAGAACCACAGAATATTAGAACCAGTCCAGTTCCTACATTGAGTGTTCGAGGAAGCCAAGAGAACCTCAGTTTGAGGTTGAAACCTGGTGAAGGGATTTGTCCAGAGTCACAATGGACACCACTGGCAGAGCAGACTGGAAATCTGGGCTCCTGACTCCTGGCTCAGTTCCCCTTCCATTCTTGTTTTCCCTGCTCTAGCTGTAGGAAGTCCTCAGAAGCAGCAGCTCCCCCACTGCTGCTAGGTGGCACCAGAACACCTTTGAAGAAAAAGGCTCCCGGTCTCAGCTCCTGTCTGACATTGCCCAGATCCTCACTGTGGGAGTCCTGAAGTTTGGATGGGCAGGACTCCTTTTATAATGCTCTCAAAAGTCCTGCTTGCTCCAGTTCACAATCCCCACCTTCTTTGTCAGTGAAATCTTGCCTGGGTTGGAGGTGCAGGGAAGGGCTGTCTCTTCTGTGATTGTCTGGGAGAATTTGGTCCTGTGTGATTGATTTCTTGGGGGCTCTCAGGGCAGAATAGAATGTTCTGGCCAAGTGATCAGCTCAACAGGAAGATATTTTAGGGTAGTGCAGGCATGAGTTCCAGTTCATCTTAGCTGTTAGTATTTTCTTAAGATTTTGTCTGGGTGTGCAACCCAGCTGAACACAGTGTGGTCTCTCCCTCGGTCACATTGCCAGTCTGTGACAGAGCTGGGGTGGAATTCCAGCTCACTAAGTACTGAACTACTTTGCTTCTCAGGAGAATGTGGAGAAGACAAGACCCTCTGTCATCTGGTTCCTACCTGCCCCTTCAGCCCCATCTTGCTGTTGTGTAGCTTTGTGGCTAAGAGTATAGGCTCTAGTTTCAGGCTCTTGAATGCTGCCTCCCCACTTGTTAATTGTGTGACTGTGCCATAATTATGTGACTTGTCTTTGCCTCAGTTTTTCCCTTTGTAATGGGATGTGATGGATTGCAAATGGCTTCAAATTTCTTTGTAGGTCCTCGCATTAAAGGTGGAATGTATTTTCCCCACCCCCTTGAAACTGGGCTGGCCTTGTGATTTGCTTTGATAGAATGTAGTGGCATTGATGATCTGTGAGTTCTGTGCTTAGGTCTCAAGAGGCTTTGTAGATTCTGTTCTCACTCCCAGAACATTGCTGCCATATGACCATGTTGGTTGACGTTCTTGAAGATGGAAGATCCCAGCCATTTCACCTCAAATTGCACAGAGAATCATGAGTGCATAAGTAATTGTATTGGTTCACTAAATTTTGGGTGGTGGTGGTTTGGTATGTTGCAGAAGCTAACTGAAATAGCAGAGCATAGTATTACCTACTTTGGAGGGTTGCTGTGAGGTTTACATGATGACGTGCCCTTAGTCTAGTGTCAAGTACACAGTGAGCTTGTATGGTTGTTACTATTAACGTTATCATGGGGGCACTTACTCTTTTTTATTTGGATTCTAGTCATCCTGACCTTTCTTTTCTTTTTTCTTCTTCTCCTCCTTCTGTATACCAAACTCTTCCTTTTCAGGGCTTTCATAGTTAATTCTCTCCATCTGCAATAGCCCTTCCCTGCTGTATTATTATCATGGTTAAAGTCTCCTCTCCTCCATGGAAAGGCCTTTTCTGATCACCCTGGGAACAACAACTCCCTTCTTTTCCATTCTTCTTTCTTCTCATAGAGTTCAACTGTCTCCTATATCTATTTCCTTGATTATTGGCTGTCTTCCCTTCTAGGTTGTAAATCCCTTGAGGGCAGGAGATGGGTCTGTTTTCTCTCCTATTTTATCCTTGCTGCCTAACACAGTGCTGTGCAGTAGGCACCCACTTGATCTTTTCTGAATGAGTGAAAAGAGGCACCTGAATCAATCTGGGTTTGAGGCTGGTGTCAGGCTTCCAGCAAGAGGAGAGTAGCTAGGTTAGAATTACAGACAGAGGAGACCGTGTGCTGTTGCTGCTAATTCCTACAGCCATTTTGGTTTGTGTCCCACTCTCATGTTGGATCAAACATGTTCCTGACACTCTATGTCTGACAAGGTATGAGCTGCTTTAAAGACAGGAACTGAATTCCTCAAAGTCCATAGCATATTACCGGGCATCCAGTAGGGGCTTAACAGAAGTTTATTGGATAGATAAATGGATGGACAGACTACTGAATAAATGAATGAATGCAAAGAAGGATGGATGGATGAGAGGGTACTCAGAACTGCAGGCAATTATGGAAAACAAGGTTTATTTTTTTCTAATAAAGGATAACTCATTTCCAGTCAATCAGTAAAAGGTCATAAATGTATAAAAATGTACTAAGTACAATCATAAACATAATGTTATAGGAAAAGTTGTTATAACCTTTTCCCTTAAGATGGCATGTTGGATGGTCACAGTTGGTTTGGTTTCAAAGGGAGGGAGAGTAGGTGACAAGCTGTCTCAGGTGGCCCAGGACTGAGGGATTTCCTAGGATGTGGGCCCTTCAGTGCTAAAACTTGGAAAACCCCAGGCAAACTGGGATGGTTGGTCATGCAAGAAAGAGAAAGAGAGCAACATCACAATGTTGGATATGGTTTAGCATCTAGGTACAGTGGTCATTTTCACAAGTTTCCCATCACCTTGTTTCCCCTTAGCTCTGAAATAGAAATCCCTGTGTTACTACTGAGGGTGTTACAGCTCTCAAAGGGTTTGCACATCCCCTGTATATTTTTGACTTGATCCTTATGCCAAGCCTGGAAGGTAGAGCAGTTTTAACCTAATTTGCAGGTATGGCATCTTGCTTCAAGGCTCCTGGCTCCTAGAGAGTACAGAAGCAAAGACTCAAACCCAGATCTCCTGAAGCCAGTGTTCTTCCCACTACTCTGTTCTTCTCTGGAACATCCTAACTCTCTCAGTATGGCTTGCAGGAGTGGGCAGGAATCAAATGGGGAACATGAGGAACCCATGATCCAAGTTTTGGCTCAAACCACTCATTTGGAACAATTCCTATCATTACTGCTCTGCCTGCTGTGTTCACCTGCTCCTTCTCTAGCAATCAGCATGTAGAATTATCCTGTTGGCCATTACTGGCATCATTATGTGGCATAGACAGTAAAAGAGATCCAGTGTGTTGCTTCCAGGGACACAATGCTTCAAATGGTCCCTCCAGTTCAGGTTTGTCAGCAGGATGTTCAGAGGATGAGCTCAGTCTGTCATTTGCCAATTTGATTGTTGAGATCTTTTTGTGCATCTTTGCTGAGAAGTTACTCAAGTGATAAGTCAACATTGCGGGGTGGCTATGACTCTTAGGCTCAAAGACTTGTCACACATGTTGCATCCATCCTTAACATACAGGGATTTTGCTTAATATATAGGTACTACCTTAAGGAGGAGAGGGTTCAGTAGCCTTCTCTGACTTATCTTAAAGACTAGAGATACACCATCCTTGTCCATAATAGACCTGAATTCTCTTGATAGCTTCTTGGAATTCTATCATCCATTCTTTCATTTCAACACTGTTTTGAGCACTTTTACATTTTGGCATTTGTAACCTCTAGGGATAAGAAGTTTGCATAATCCTTTAACCTCTGAAATGAGACTTCCTCTGACTCTCCCTAATGTAACTGAAGCATGGGCCAGTGTCTTCCAGCTGGTAATAATCTGGGATAAGCTTAATGATAGGGTTTAATATTGGCCCTATCCTTTGAGGTGTCCTTGTTTGGGCTGAGAGTTGCTCTATCATACAGGTTTATTCTGGGTACAGATGTATTAAGGCCTATAAGTCTTAGAGCTGGATAAGGATGAGTACTTCTATTTAAAAATAAATAAATAGTTTAAAAAAAAGAGTACTGCTCCTATCCTCTTGGTATAGACTGTGGACATATGGTCCATTAGCTAAAGCTTGGGATTTCCAGTGCACCCATTTGCTTTAGCATGCTTACGTTGTTGTTGACTCTTACACTAGCTATGGATCTACAATTTTCAAAAGTATCTGTGACACTGAGTTCAAATCTAATCTTTAGATATGGTTCTCTTTGGCTTAGAGACAGGAAGCAACCAATTCTCTATGAATGAAAATGTTAAACCTGACATAATTACCACTGCAATACACTCAAGAAGAAGTACCTGTGTATATGGGTCTCTTCTGAAACTTTAACTCTTGGCACAATAAGATGAGGTGATGGCTTGACAAGCCCAGAAACTTCCAAATCCTGAGAGATTGCCTGGGTAGATATATCTCTTGGAATCTTGGAAAATTATGGCCCAGTTGTATTAGCCATTTGTTCTACTTACTTGGAAGGTCACAAGAATGTCTCTGGGCTAAAGAATTTTAAAACTCAATGCATTAGAAACATAGCTTCCTTATAAAATTTTTGTTTGCATTATATGCTGCCTGGCAGCAGGAGAAAGGTAGAGGTTGACTGGTTTCCAGTCCTTTGTCAAAGCCCTTGGGGCCAGCATTTTCTCCAAGGAAGTCAAGCCTGGTTAGGAGCAAATAAATCTGGCACGTTCTTTCCTCCATGAAGAGGAAGAGTCAGGGGTTAATTAGGCCATTGATTGGGTGGCTTCCTCTGAGTTTGTACAGATTTCTGCAGGCCATTCATATGGTCAGCGAACTCTGGGATCGGCGATGACTGCCCCTGCTTGAGGGCCTGTACTCATCAATCTGTCCATTTGAGAAGGCTCCCGAAGCCATTGTCCTACTAGGCCCCAGAAGCGGGTATTCCCTGTATGAGAGTTTAGCTGAGGAGTCCCCTGGGCATGGGTGATCCTTCAGATGGTCTCTGCTGCATTTCTCTCCATGCAATATCCAGTCCTCCTTGTACTTCCGCTTGGGAGGGCTAGAGCTCTTTGGGGTGCTGGCTCTGAAGTCTCGTTCTGGGACAGGTGGCACTGGATGGTGGGTGTGCTGAGCCTTTCCAGGAATAGGGACAGGCCTCTGTCTACTTCTCCAACTCTGCATTTCTAGGTCTCTTTTGTCTGTGGGGAGTTTGTCGATTTTCTGAGCTTTTAAGATCAGAGACTTCCCGTAAGTCCCTTGTAGAGATAGGAAAAAGTACCTGGTAGGAAATAACAGAATAAAAGTACTTGTTTTTTGGGGACTTCTTGAATTTCAGCATTGGAAAGGGCCTTAGAATCGAATTCCCCACACAGGGCAAGATCCTCTTTGTTATGTCCCTGACTGTTGGCTATCAAATCTAGGCCTGGGCACCTCTGGTAATGGGGAGTTCAACAATAACAGAACAGAACAGCTAACATTTATTATGTATCTAAGCTATCCTAAATGCTTTAGACATTAACTCATTTCATTCTTCCAACAATCTTGGGCAGTCTATACCTTTGTTTCCCCCTGTGTGCAGATGATGAAACTGAGGCACCAAGGGATTAAGTGATTTGTCCAGAGTCTCACAGTAGTGGAGCTGTGATCAGAACCAAGCACTCTGGATCCCAAGGCTTTTATCCACTATGTACATGGGGTCCATTTCTATTTCTGGACTATTCTAATTCAGGCAAGTGTACTTGATTTGTAATGTCAACCCTTTGTGGAGCTTATTAATTTTTAAGTAGTTTCTAAATACAAACTTTTCCCCTGAATCTATGGGCTGGCTTGACAGCATCACTGTATTATCACTATAAGTGACAAGAAGGGTTTCCCAGGGTCTCCAGAGAAGTTAATTGACCTCCCTGATGATTGACTCAAGTGTTCCTTTGTCCCTGCCAAGTTGAATGTGGACTCTGGGAGTCTCTTTGTTTAGAATCTTTTCTCTATTCCAAGTTAAGGAAGGAGTGAGGAAGTGAATAAAACTATGTGGTGTATGGAGAAAGAATCACACCATTACACCATGTTGTGATACTGGACAACTCACGTTCCCCCTTTTGGTGTTGATTTCTTAACCTAAAATGTACTTAAATCAGTCAGGAGAACACTCATGGTTTTTTTCAAAAATAATCCTTTAAAAAGTTTTATTTCTAAAGCCTTATAGAAAGGCTCCGTCCTTCCACTATTGTCTAAAAGCTTTAGGGTGACCTCAGGGGCAAGGGGTTTCTGAAGACAACAGTAGGTCCCATGGAATCAGATAAATTTTCCCCAATTCTTTCTCATCTCACCCAGTGAGACAGTACAGGTGGCCATGTATATGTTTCAGGAAAGATTCAATTTCTTGGAAATTTGAATTTTCTCAGTTTAACCCTTTTCCCCAAGCTATCACTTTCCTTTCTCCATCAATTCATTTAACAAATACCTGTAAAGTCCCTACAATAGGCCAGGCCCAAAGGGATTAAACTGTGAGCAAGACAAGGGTCTTGCTTTCATGTAGCACATAAATAGACTTATAAATGGAGAGAGCAATGAAAAGTGTCAAACACCTGATCTGGTGTGAGAGACCTTCCTTGAGAAGGAAACTTTTAAGCTGAGGACTGAGAGATGCATAGGAGGTAGTCAGGCAAAGAGGGGATGAGAACAAAATCCTGGGCACAATGGCTGCAGGATGGAAAGTGAGGACAAGAGTGGGGAAATATGAGACAGAAGAGGTTGGTAGGGCCAGAGCAGGCAGGGACTGTGGCCAGATCTTGGTTTTTGTGCTTTATTGTGATGGCCTTGGGAAGCTCTTTTGGGGGGGTGGCAAGACATAAACAGATGATGACAAGATTACACTTTGACACAATGATAATGGGTTAGAGCAAACCCATTGGGAGACTGCTAGAGTAATTTGGGGTAAAAAGATTAGAAATAGAAATGAGATGGATTTGAGAAATACATAGGGGATAAACCCATCTGGTTTTCATGACAAGTCAGATGTGGGGTGGTAGGTGGTATTAAGGATCCTAGGGGTCTGTCCTGGTCCTAAGTGGGTAATATTTGATGGAGAGAACTCTGAAAGAGACTTAAGTTTCTTTGATGGTGGTGCTGATAGAGGATGGATCATGAATTAAATTACAGATGTCTCTGTTTCCTCAGACTAAACATGCCTAGTGGCAGTGATGATAGGTAGTTAGAAAGATGTATCTGGAATTCAGAAGAGAGACTGGCCTGGGAATTTATATTGGAGATTCATCTGTGAAAAATGATATTTAACTTCACAATAGTGGTTGCTATGTCTATGGAGAGAATATAAAGTTAGAAGACAGAAGAACCTAAGACCAAGGGTAGACATCCACTATGTCAAGAACACGAACCAGCAAAGGAAACAAAGAAGTAGGAGAAAGACCAACAGAGTGTTGTGTTACCGAAGCCAAGGAAATAGTGTTCAAGGACAGTTATCCTTCCTTATAGCTAATTAAGAGGCTGCTTTGTGTTGTAAACTTAGTGCACTAGTTTCTTTTGTTTTATCTGTAAAGTAATTTACATGTTCCTAGTTTAAGAAAATCTGTACAATTCTCTTATACTGCTTGAATTAATTAGACCAAGATAAGTGAGGTCACAGCTAGTGGGTTAATTATCACAAGCTTGGTGAGTGAAATCAATCTCCATTATGATAAATATAGCTTACAACTTTAGTTTTCTGTGGCAAGTATTCTATCATGTAGATTTCTATATGAAACATTTATTGTTCCAAGGTTATAAGTCTACAGTCCTTGGAACTATTAAAATAATATTTTCTCTATCAGAGGAAATGTCTGCTTTTCTTAGTAAACAACATTAAGCAGAAATCCAACTTTATGATAATAAAGAATAAGCAGAGATATTAGCAAGCAAATATTTGTTAACTTTTTCCTAACTTGTCCCTTATCTGTTATAACAAGTGGTAATGTTGAAGGCTTGTCTTTTCAAAGCAGGTGTCAGCAGTCTTCATACTTTTCAAATATCCTCATCAAACTGGTTGGTTTTGGCTCTAAGAGGTGTTTTCCAGCCAAGGGTAAGACAAAGAATATAGGCTGATAATTTTCTTTCCATACCCTAAATATGATACAGAACAGGGGAGCTCAGTCCTTGGCTTGTGGTGATCATAACTGTGTTTAACCCAGAAGTGTGAACAAAAATACTTAACCCACAGTTTGATGCCCTTTTCCAATGAGAGCACAGTCTTCATGGTCTCTCCCAAGGGATTGAGCAGAAGAAGGGGTGGGGTGGGCAATATGTCCTCTGAGGCTTGTACTTGTTCTTAATTGCTTCCTGTTCTTCACTCAAGGCCCTCTTTCAATACTAGTCACTTTCCCCTGTCTTATGGTCAAAGTTATATCTGAATTGTCTATTGGATTGCAGGTTTCTTGAGAACAAGGGTCCTGTTTTATTCCCCTTTCTGTTCTTCTAACCTCTATTGCTCATTTATCTCAGAATGCAGCCTATGTGACAGGAACTGTGCTGTTTTGGTTATATAAAGGTAAGGAGGATACCTTCTGTCCAGGAGTTAATGGTCAGAGATAGACGATTTTTAACAAATGGCTAAAGGCAGTGACAAAGACAAACCCAGGTGATGGGAACACATAAGAGAGGGGGACATATTTCCGCTTGAGGAAGGTAGGTGAAATCATGGAAGGGTTGGAATTGGTCATGCCTGAAATGTCAAAGGATGAGGAGGTTTGGTAATAGAAAGTGTATTCCAAATAGGAGGAACAGCATGAATAAGGGCAGGAAGGTGAGAAGGCATGGGCTTTCAGAGAAGTACAAGAAGCTTGGTAGTGTGGAGCCCGAAGTTTGAAGTAGGGAGTTGAGGGAGGGATGAGGCTGTAGAGCCCAGCAGGGGCGAAGCAGGGAGGCCATGCACATAGAGCATACTTAGAATACAACTGATATCTGTGTTTGCCATCTAGGTATCTTCAGCCTTAAACCTTGCATCAGAGGTCAAGGTTCTGAGCTGGCTTAGGACAAGGAAATGGACACCAACCTCGGTTAAGCAAGCTCCCACATTTATTAAAGGAAGTATGACTGGCTATGGCTCTCTAATTTTGGATTAGAAAAAGTTCTATGTGGGCGCCTGGGTGGCTCAGTTGGTTAAGCGACTGCCTTCGGCTCAGGTCATGATCCTGGAGTCCCAGGATCGAGTCCCGCATCGGGCTCCTTGCTCAGCGGGGAGTCTGCTTCTCCCTCTGACCCTCCCCCCTCTCATGCTCTCTCTCTCTCTCTATCTCATTCTCTCTCAAATAAATAAATAAAATCTTTAAAAAAAAAAAAGAAAAAGTTCTATGCAATGTTGAGATAGTCTGTTTACCACAGCCTATGATGATAAGGCGGCTGAATTGTGATGTTCAGAGTGGCGGGATCTTAAGGATGGAGAGGGGCTAAGTCCTCCCCACAGGTACATGCTCAAGTTCACTGACTGTTCTAACTAGAGTGTGAGCTGCAGAATAGAACACAGGCCACTGAATTGGGAGAATCCAGCTCCCACTGTGATTTGTGGTGGACTTGTGGACACATGGTCCTTCTTGCGACTTAGCTGTCCCATGAGCAAATGGTACTAGAACTATAGCTCTGCCTAAATTCTAGGTGATGGCAAAAGCAAAACAAAGTGCTAGATAGTGTGTGGCAAGAGCTTCAAGGAAATGCAAGGCATTATTGTTGCTATTCTTCTGGAAAAGTCAAATGCAGAAGGTTTAGGATAGAAATGTTAGAAATAGTCCTCGGGCAGGAATGATTTATTTGACTAATACACACTTTTTTGTGTGTAATAAATTTGAATAATATTAAAAAGTTGGCTATTTCATGCAAAATTTGAATTTCTGTAAGAAATCTAAAGGTCTGCAATGCTAAGACTTGATCTTTTCTGGTGGCAATGATAGGGTGAAGCTGAGAAGGTCTTTCTCCCCATGTCCGTACTACACCTGGTTTGCTGCAGTTGTGTGCCTGTGCCTGTAGTTATTAGAGTTAGGAGACTCCTGGGCTAATAAAGGACCACAGACCTTTTCAAAATGATCCCTTACACACAACACAATTTGTAAAGCAGGAGGGCAGGAATTATCATTTTACAGATGTCACAACTTAGGCCATGCCAGTTGGTGACTTTGCTACTCTGTGGCTGCCCTGGGATGACAGTCCATGTTATTTGCCTTCTCATTCATTGTTCTGTTTGACCTAATACCCTGTCTTTGAAACAACAGCCTCAAGGTTCCCAGCAGGAGTCAAACTCCTGACTCTTGGCTTATGAAAATAGCTTATTAAGGGGGCATTGGTGGTTCTAGGTAGAAAACAACCCCAGTGCTCAAACCTTGGGAGAAGAGCCATGACCGGTGTGAGGAAACAGACGAGGTAGAAAGTGGGGTCTGAGAGCTGGCCTTCCATCACCCAATAGGGATTGGTGGGACTGTTGCAGTTGACGCAGATGGCATTGTAAACAAGGGATACCACAAAGTACATCAGGAAGCTGCCTAAAAGAACAAGCCCGTGGATAATGGTCTGTGGAAGGAAAGGAGAAGTAAACACTGTTGAAACTATAGCTTAGATCAGGGGGCAGTGCAATCATGGCATTTGACTAACTTTGTTTTAAACATTTTTTTTTGTGGGGCAGATTAATGGAGCATTAGAAAGCAAACACCCATGCTGCTCTCATCCAGAATTTGAACATACATACCCAAAGAGCCCCTAGAAATTCTGTCTCACCGCCTATGTACTCAGGATTCTATTTATCTAACATTTAAAAAACAATTTGGTGTGAGGAATCCATTTTTTCCACATGTGGCTGCAGTTTATTCATGTTCAAAGCAGTACAGTGTTCTGTTGTTTGATCTTATTTTGTCCTGTTTTGTGTTCTTTTACCCACTCTTATCCTCTTTTAAACTTAGTATTTTGTACAATTTCATTTTTTCCCTTTACTGGTTTGAAAGTTATACACTCCATTTCTATTCTTTCAATGATTACTCAATAAATGATAATAAGCAACCTTAACTTACCACAGTCTAAAGTATGTAACTACTTTTCCCTACTCCTGAATCATACAAGGGCTTTAGAGCGCTTTAACTGTTTACTTCCCTGCTGACTTAAATCTTATTGCTACTGCATATTTTAATTCTATCATCTTTTAAAGCAGACAAATCATTATTATAGTTGAATATCATCAATATTTGTTAAAATTCACTTGATGTTTACCATTTTCTGTACCTTCATTCCTTCTTGCATCTTGGACCTTCCATCTGAGATTTTTTTTTCCTTTTGCTTTAAGTACATTCTTTAGAATTGCCTTTAGTGGAAATCTGCTGGTGATCTATTCTGATGCTTTATTTCATTCTTTCTTGAAAGACATTTTTGATGGATATAGAATTCTTGTTTGGCAGTTTTTTTAAGCATATTTAAAATAGCAGTCCATTGTCTTTTGTTGCTTTTGAGACATTTCTTACCTGTTGTTCCTTAGAAAGAAATGTTTATCTCTTAAAATCTGGCAATTTTTTTTTCTAAGTATGCTCTATGCCCAGCATGAAGCCCATTGCAGGGCTTGAACTCATGACCCTGAGATCAAGGTCTGAGCTGAGATCAGGGGTCGGATGCTCAACTGACTGAACCACCCAAGCACCCCAAAATCTGGCTACTTTTATGGTTTTTGTCTTTAGTATTCTGTAGTTTCTTTATGATAAATATGTATTTTTATTTATCTTGGTTGGGTTTTGCTGATCTAGAATCTGTGGGTTGATGTCTTTCATCATTTCTGCAAAATTCTTAAGTCACTATCTTTTCAACTATTACCTCTGTCTCATTTTCTCTCTCCTTTACTTTTTTTTTTTTTTTAAGATGTTATTTATTTATTTGACAGAGAGCTAGAGGAGAACACCAGCAGGCAGAGCGGCAGGCAGAGGGAGAGAGAGAAGCAAGTTCCCCGCGGAACAGGGAGCCCGATGCAGGGCTTGATCCCAGGATCCTGGGATCATGACCTGAGCCGAAGGCAGATGCTCAATTGACTGAGCCACACTGGTGCCCCTCTCCTTTGCTTCTTAGACTCTGATCAAACGTATGTTAGACTTTTTTAGATACCACCCTATCTTCTATATATTTTATACCTTTTCCATAATTTTCATTATTTTTCTTCTGTTTTGTATTCTGCATAATTACTTTTGACCAACTCAATAATTCTCCCCTTCAATTTTGTCTAATTTTTTTGTTAAGCCAGCTACTGTATTTTATTTTTAAAAGTTTTTTTTTTAAAGATTTTTTATTTATTTGAGAGAGAGAATGAGAGAGAGCACATGAGAGGGGGGAGGGTCAGAGGGAGAAGCAGACTCCCCGCTGAGCAGGGAGCCCGATGCGGGACTCGATCCCGGGACTCCAGGATCATAACCTGAGCCGAAGGCAGTTGCTTAACCAACTGAGCCACCCAGGCGCTCCTATTTTTAAAAGTTTTATTTGGTCTCTTTTCAAATTTGCTAGATTGCTTTATATAGTTTATCAATCCCTGCAGATATTTTAAAGCTTAAACATAGATTTTCTGTTAATTTATATCTGATAATACCAACACCTGAAATATGTGTTTCTGATTTTTTTAAAAACCTCACTAATGGGTTTTTGTTTCTTTGAGAGTTGGTTATTTTTGAATATGTGAGGCTCATAGTGCCTTGAAAAGTTGGTAGGAACAATTTTGAGGCATAGGATGAGATACCTTTCTCTAGAGAAGGTGTGTTTATTTTGCAATGTCCTTGGCAACTGTCAGTCTTGGGTCACTTTAAACTGACCTCATACATCAAAATTTGGCTCACCAAGGTGATACAAACCTGGGCTGCAAATATGTATGAGGCCAGCCCATGGTCCGTTTCCTAGGACAGGTCCTTTATATTGATTCTCCCTGCTTTGCTCACAATGGAAATAATCTCTGCAGTACCTGCTGGGGAGGTTGAACAGGCAGGTCCATTTTGGGTGTAGCCTCACCCTGAGGTATAGCTTTGGGATCCTAATGTAATGTGGGCTCTTAGACTCCTGCCTTGGGTATCTGGGTTTGATTTCTGAATATTTTGCTCAGTCAAGCTGCCCAGAAACAAAGTTCTTTTTGGGCAGGGTTGCAAACATCCTCAAGGAAACAGGTTTTGGCTCTTTCTCTAGAATCCCCCTTTCTCAGAGGTTTTTGTCTTTACTCTTCTGTCAGCTCTTTTATGCTTTTGAAGAAGTTTTTTGTTTTTATTTTTAGATTTCAGTGGGAGAGGTGATCTGAATAATCCAGCCCCGATCCTGAAGAAGAAAGCAGTTAGCTAATTTTTTTTCAGTTGCTTTGGTGGAAGCTGTGAAAACTGACAGTTACTCAAATTCATGTTAGATTTCTACCCAGGAAATACTGTCTTGCTTCAAGTACTTTCGAAAGTGAAATATACTTTTTCATAATGATTTTAGTAACTGACTCTTTTTCCAAAAGCACCAGAAATTACAAGTAACTACTGGTTTAGCTGGTCTAGAAATGCATTGGGTGGGTTAATAATGCTGAATGATGGTGAAAGGAACAGGTCCCCTCTCTGAAAGCAGATGGATGCAGTGTTGTGAGAAAGTGGGCTGAGTGATCAATGAAGATACAGAATCTTTAATTCATCACCCACGTAAAATTATACTTTTCAGGGCCTTCTGAAAGGTTAAAAATCTAGTGGTTAAGAGGTTCATAGAGAGTAGAATTCCTCTTGGGAAATATCTTGGGTTAGTTTTTTTTTTTTTTTTTAGTGGAATTAAACCGTAAAATATTTCAAGCATACAGATAGTATACCTCATATACCCAACATCCAGCTTTATCAATTTTAACTATGTCATATTTCCTCCAATTATTATTAAAAAGTTAACATATGCAAGTAAAGCACCCATGATTCTCTTGCAAATGTTTTCTCTTTAGTCTTGAACATAAATTCAGTGGTTCATCATTCTTATGCATATTTTATACATACATGTTTATGAATGCTTCTTTAATCCTTTAACTTTTTTCACTAGACCTAATGCTTTGGAGTTCCATCTATGTTGATAGATCTGGCTTTGGTTATTTATTTTAACTGTTCTAGTATATGAATATGCCACAATTTATTTAGTTTCCTGTTGATGAACACTTAGCCTTTTTCATTTTTTTCCCTGCTATTAAGAACAATACTATAACAAGCATTCTTGAACACGTCTCTGTATATAACACATGCAAGAATATTTCCAGGGTGCATCATACTTAAAAGTGGAATTGTGTCATAGCAGATGAGTACTTAAACTCCTCCAGCTATTTTCAAATTGCTCTCCAGAGTGGTGGCATCAGCTTATAGTTTGTGGTCTACTACCAGAATATGAAAGTTCCTTCGTTGGGCTTTATTATCTTTCACACACTGCTGAGTTAATTTGTCAATAATTTATTTAGAATTTTTATATCTGTTCATTTAGTGAGATTGCTCTATAATTTTCTTTCCTTGAACTGTCTATACCTATTTTGGTATCAGGATTATTTTAGCCAATTTCTTTAATGGTGACTGGTTTATTCAGGTTTGCTGAATGACCTTGGTTATGTTTTGGTAGATTTTATATTTAAAGAAATTATCAACTTGTTTTAAATTTTCAAAAAATACTTAAAAAATTGATATCCATAATTATCAGTCTTTTTCATATTTTTGTGGTCTTTTCTGGTGTCTTTTCTTGGATCGGTTTTGTCAGAGATTATTATTATTATTTTTTTTAGTTAAAATTCCAGTTAACATACAGTACCATATTAGTTTCAGGTGTACGATATAGTGATGCAACAAGTCCATACAATATCCAGTGCTCATCAGAACAAGTGCACCCCTTAATCCTTATCACCTATTTAACCCATCCCCCACCCACTTCCCCTCTGGTAACCATCAGTTTGTTCTCTATAGTTAAGAGTCTGTTTCTTGGTTTGCCTTTCTTTTTGCTTGTTTATTTCTTAAATTCCACATAAGAGTGGTATTTGTCTTTCTCTGACATACTCGCTTAGCATATACTCTCTAGATCCCATCCATGTTGCTGCAAATGGCACGATTTCATTCTTTTTTTTTATGGCTGAGTAACAGATTAGTTGTTATTAGGGTTTTGAGGAACTCAGTTTTGGTTTTATTGATCCTTTCTATTGTTTCCTTGATTTTTCTCTTTAGATTTACACGATAATTTTTTAAGTTCCTTGAATCAAATTCTTGTTTTTTAACTTTTTGCTTTTTAATTAAAAGGATTAGATTCATCCCGCAAGTTTGCATATATGGTATTTTTATAGTCATTCAGCAGTAATTCCCATCATGATTTACTCTTGACGTCATGAGTTATTTAGAAGTACATTTTGAAATTTCCAACCATGTTAGGTTTTTTTGACTATCTTTTTATTGCTTGTTTTTAATTTAAATGCATTGTCAGAAAGGATGATCATGATTCTTTCAAATTCCTGTAAGAATTCAGAATTTGGTCTTTTTCTTTTAATTTTTGGTATATAGTCTCTGTTTTTGAAAAGATGCATGTTTACTAATACATTAGATCAAATGTGATAATTTATTCCAGCCTTCTATATTATTTCTATTTGATCTGTCTGTTTCTGATAGAGTTGTATATAAATCTCACACTACAGTTGTGAATTTGTCTATTTGTCCTTATATTTACTGGACAAAAAAATCCAATCTGATAATTTTTGCTTTTAATAGGTGAATTAAATCCATTAACATTTATTATGAATACTGATAGATTTATTCTGAACATCTTGTTTTGTGGAGTTTTTTGGCCATCATTTTTCTTTGCCCTTATTGATCTTTCCTACATCCTGCAGAATTGATAGTTTCCTATATTCCTCTTATTTCTTTCCATTCCTTTATTGTTAAACCTTAAGTTTTGAAGATATGTTTTCAAGTATTAAGAGACCTTAAGTTTTGAGATACACTAAATAAATATGGACTTTTATGGAAAAATCGACAGTTAAATGCCTATTTCTATTCTTTTCCTATTAATGATAAAGGCTTTAGCATAAATTACCTGTTGAACAGTCCTTTCTTACCATGATGTTTTTTCTTACAGTTTTGGCTTTTGTGTTCTTTCAGAAGTATGTTTCTTTTTTTGCTGAGGGTCTGGGAGTAGCAAACCTTATAATGTCTGTTTATTTGAAAATGTCATTTATTTTGCCCTGGTTTTAAGTGATGTGTAACTGTTATTTCCCCTCAGGTCTTTGAAGATAATTACTCCATTGTCTTCTAGCTTCTATTGTTTTCTCAGTTTAACTGCTATTCCTTTTCAAGTATTTTGTCCATAGCCTCTGGTAGACTTTAAGATTGTCTCTTGTACACTATATAGTTTCACTATGATATATCCAGGTGATTTGTTCAGATTTATTTTGATTAATTTTCTTTCTCAATGATTATCTCTTCAGATACTGTTTCTCTACCATTTTTTTTCCTTCTTCTATGACCCCTATTATGTGGATGCTGGAGCCATTTATTCTAGCTATTATTCCTTTGAATTATTTTGTCACATTTGTGTGCATTCTAGATGAGCTCCCAATAATATCTTCCAATTTGGTAGTTTACTATTTGCCAGAGTCTGATCTCGAGTGGATCTCACAAATTGCATTTTTTAAATTTATTTGACAGAGAGAGACACAGTGAGAGAGGGAACACAAGCAGGGGGAGTGGGAGAGGGAGAAGCAGGCTTCCCGCAGAGCAGGGAGCCCGATGTGGGGCTCAATCCCAGGACCCTGGGATCATGACCTGAGCTGAAGGCAGACGCTTGATGACTGAGCCACCCAGGTGCCCCTGCATTTTTAATTTCAATTACAAAATTGTTCATTTTGAAGAGTTCTAAATGTTTCCTTAGCTTGGCTCAGTTCCCAATATTAAAATTGTGTCTTTGACTCTTATCTACCTTCCTCATGGCTTCTGATAAAACTGTAATTCCAAATAGCATGTCCTTGTCAACTTTTCTTCAGCTTGCTTTCTTGAGTGGGCAACTCTAGCCCAGACCTAGAACCTAGCAGTAAACAGGGCTCCAATCTTCCTTACTCCATAGGAACCAGACTCCCTACAGCCACAGTCAGTTTCTTGTCCTGGATTCTGGGAAAGCCTTCAGTTTGAGCCAGTCCAGTACCTCCTCCTCCCATCTCATTGTTTTTCAGCCTCTTCTGCTGCTGGTGCTTCTTGAAGAAATTTATCCTGTACTTAAGCTTGGCTATACCTTTTTGGTTTTATCACTTTATTTGTCTTTGGCATGACCTGGAATAGAGGGTGTCTGTGATCTGGAAGTTTCCTTGGGTGGCTCTTACTAGCTCTCACATCATAGGCTGATCTAATTTAGTTAACATCCATTACTTTGCAATATATGTATATCAAGTGATTATCCTGTATACCTTAAACTTATTGAGGTATAATTGACTTACAGCACTGTGTAAGACTAACCCCACCCCCCAAAATCCACAAAGTGCTCTGGGAAGTTAAATAAGATAATAAATTAGAAATCATATAAATAGGTACCTGGTATATGATTTTAAGCTTTTTGTTTTTATAATTATCACTGACTACAAGAATTTAATGAGAAAGCTGTCATTGCCTTCTTAGATACTGAAATGTGATATCTGGACATGCTTGGGATGTGTTTACATGAAGGTAGCCTTCTAATCTTTTATCCTGAAATTAAATGGAGAGCATATACTTCCCTAACACAGCCTCAAGTATGGTCAGCCTACTGTTTTCCTCATCTCTGAAATACCCCAAAAGTTTTTAACAAAAAGACCTATTTTTGCAACAAATTATCTCATGGTTTTATAGATCTTAGTTTTATAATCCTGGATTGATGATAAGCAAGTTGAGGTGAGGGACTTTATCTTTTATACCTGTCTCATCCCTGTACAAGTGGGACACAGGAGTTCAGTAGTTATTTATTATTATTATTTTTTATGTTCAGCTAGTCATCATACAGTACATCATTAGTTTTTGATGTAGTGTTCAACGATTCATTAGTTGCATATAACACTCAGTGCTTACCACCACATGTACCCTCCTTAATACCCATCATGCTGTTACCCGCCCCCAACCCCCCCATAATCGTCAGTTTGGTTCCTGGAGTCCAGAGTCTCTCATGGTTTGTCTCCCTCTCTGATTTCTTCCCATTCAGTTTTCCCTTTCTTCCTCTGTGGTCCTCCGTGCTATTCCTTATATTCCACATATGAGTGAAACCATATGAAACCATGAACTATCTGCTTGACTTATGGAGTGGATCAATGATACAGAGTAAAACAACTGAAATTTTTTAGGTCAAAGGGGTTCTGAGGTACTTACCCAGGTCTTCATTTCCATCGCCTGGTGCAAGAGGATTGTGGTGAGGGAGATGGTATTGATGGGTGTCCCAAAGGTAAAGACATCAATATCAGAATCTTTGTAGGTCTGCAGAGGAGGATAAAACAGGCATTATTAGATATGCCCTGGGATTCAAGGTAGGTGTCACGGGAGGGGAAGAAATGAGGAGAAGATATGCAGCTGCCATCCATGGGGAACTGCCCCAAGGAACAGACAAGATGAGGAGTGAGTTAATAGGGCTAAATTCTTTGGAAACACATTTGTGGCAGAAGACATGATGGTTATTCCAGAACATTGTGGAATGAATGAACAAAGAATTTATTGGGCAACCAGCAAGCACAATGAAAACTGCTGAAGATACTTCTGTGTCCACCTTCAAGGAGTTTGTAGTCTACTAGGCAGGGAAAATGTGGTACAATTAAGGGGTAAATCATACAATGGTACAAGGTATACAAAATACCCCGGGGGTACAGAAGAGAAGATAATCAGCTGAGACCATAATAAGAGGAGTTAATCTCTTGAAAAAAGAGAGGAAAGGCAGACCAGGCAAAGGTGAGAACTTGAGGGTGAAAAGTTCAAATAAGCCTGTTGAGCACAGAGCGGGGGCAAAAAATGAAGCAGGAAAGGCAAGCAGAGCCCTGGAGAAGGAAGGTATTGTAAAACAGGAAATTCAAATGAAGCACAAAATGACTGCCTCCTTGACCCATCTTGTTGCTAACTGCAAAAGAATGTGAGGTGGGGTAGACACCACAGTTTTGCACTTGCCCCACTTTCTGGTTCCCTATCCAGGAGAAATAGAGCTATACTTCACTATCTCAATTCCCACTCTTTAAACTGGGAACTAAATTGAGACGGGGCTGGTATCCCTTGCTTTTATTTCAGATAATGTAGTATCCCTTATTAGCAGAACTTACTGCCTGAATGCATGCTGCCCTGACCTTGGAATCACAAATCTAAATATAAATCAAATACCCTCAGTGTTCAAGTAAGAAATGGTAAATGAGTGTAGAAGACTAGGTATAAGACAAAAGGGAGTGGTAGGGACCATGGCAAACTGGAGAACATGCACCCCATCTAAACAGGGCTGTGAGTCAATTCTGGATTTTTGCCATGTGGGAAAAATGACCCAGTGTAATGATAGCTTCCAGTTTTTCAAAAGCTGGCAGAAATTAAGATGTTTTCAAATACTCTGAGTTGGATGTAGTCTGCAGACGACCTGCTTGGAGCCTCTGTGCTGCAGTGTCCAGAAAGACACTAGTCTAGGATTTCATATTAACAGGACCAGTTCCACTCTGTGATTTGTGTGGTTAGAATGGGATTATAGAACTTACCAGGTATGGAATGAAGAAACAGACAAGGCTCTGGTAGAATGCATCCACTATGGAAATCCAGAAAGTCATCAGGTTGTAGCACTGCCAGGAAAGAACACATGAACCCCCCTCAAAGAAAGCCTCTATTCTTTGTAAGCAACTTTCTTGTGCTACCTGGACAGAAAATATGGTATTTACAGTGTTCTTAGAGGCAACAGAATGGAAAAATTAAGAGCATAGACCTGGGGATGACAGACCTTAGTTCAAGTCCCAGCTCTGCCACTAACTGTATGACCTTGTGACAGTCATTAAGCTGCTTTGATAACTGGTTCTTCTTCCACAAAAAGGATAAAAACAACACCAACTATCTCATTGGGTTTTGAGAAATCTAAATACAATTGTGCTTTAGTACCCAGTAAGTGCTCAGTTATTAATAACTACCATTCAGGGCGCTTGGGTGGCTCAGTTGGTTAAGTGACTGCCTTTGGCTCAGGTCATGATCCTGGAGTCCTGGGATCGAGTCCCACATTGGGCTCCTGGCTTAGCAGGGAGCCTTCTTCTCCCTCTGACCCTCTCCCCTCTCATGCTGTTTCTCTCTCTCTCTAATAAATAAATAAAATCTTAAAAAAAAAAATAACTACCATTCATTAGCACGTTACTAGTGCTAATACACACTTGGTAAGTTTAGAGATTCTAAGGTTTCTACATAATATCTGATGGAGAGGGAGCTCTCCATCACAGTCCAGGATCACAGATTCCCAAGAGACAGGGCTCAATGGCTTCAGAGACAAGTGTTCTCATTTTTGCTTCCCTCTTCCTGCCTTCCCTCGAAAAAGAAACTGTTTTCAGTTTGTTTTTGCTACATTAACTTTTCTTACTGTTAGATACTCAAGGAATACGTTATACATCTAGCACACCACTGGGAGGAGAAAAATCAGAAGAGCTATGGGTGTATGTGTGCCATTACCACGTCTCTCTTGCCTGATGTGCTAGGGTTGCTGTGTTGCTCTCCTCCCATTTTTGGGTTAGGACTGGGCTTGGTTCTTTGTCGGCTGTCCACAAAATATTACTAGCTCTCAAACACCACATCTGGCTTGGCCCTCCTTTCTCCCAGGCATAGAGGTATGCTTATGCATTTCAATGTTCCTTTTCCCAGAACTCTTCCTTCAAGGCAGTCAGGTTCCCTGTCTGTCTTTTCCATCTAGTCTCTGGGCTGTGTCTGTGCCAGTCTGACCACCTGGAGTACCCACGGTCTGACTTCTCCAAACCGTTCAGGGTGTCAGTGTGACCTCTTTTTGCCTTCTAGGAGATCATCCTGGCGGTTTCCTAGGCCTTCTTTAGTCTATGGGCTACCAGCAAATTCCAGACTGTGTATAATCTTGAGTTCTAAACTTTCTTTCCCGACATGAGGTAGAAGCCTTCATTTGTGAACACCTCACCCCATGATGAGCAAACTAGCTTTTAATCCCAGGGGTTCCTAACCCAAGCCTTGGGGGGTTCTGTCAAAGGCCTGGAGAAAGGGGCCAGCTGAGGACAATGGGATCTTTCTGTTTGTCCTCTCCCCATGCAACTAGGGCAATCCCATGTTAAACATGTGATATAATGAAGAAATAACTCAAAAGAAAAATACCCACTGGTCTCGTCCATCACCCTCAACAACAAATGGGAAACAGGCCAGGAATGGGGAGTGGAGACACTGGGTCACATGGGAGATAAGAGGCAAAGTGGTGACCTGAGTGCAATGCCCCTGACCCCCAGATCAGTGCTCTTTCTCTGGCAGGGAGGACCTGAGGCCTCTCCATCTTACCTCAGAGTTTTGGCCACTCTTGTACAGCTCAGGCAATGCCAGGAGTGTTTCTCCAGAGATGTCTTTATCGAGGACTCCAAAGATGAGAGGAGGCAAGGAGGTGAAGAAGAGATTGAAGAATATCATCTGCCAATAATCGATCATGGTGGAGCCAGAAAAACCACAGAAAAACTGGTACCAGAAGAGCAGGTTGACGTAGCACTGCAGGCAGAGAGTGTGGCCTTGTGAGTGAGGACCCACGGGCAGTGGTCACCAGCAGCTGCTTAGGAGCCTCTGGCAAGTCACAACGCTGACATGGAGCTTCTGTTTTCTCATTTGTGCCATGCAGAGTTGTGTAAGTATCAGAGATAACTAATCCTGAGAGCGGCAGCTGCTGATAATACCACTATGAGGGTTCTTTAGGACCTGAAAGGAATTGCACCAACTTGTTAAGTACCCTATGCCGGTTCAAAGCACAGACTGTGGAGGCAGAAAAGGCTGGTTTGGAATTTCCAGGTCTGTCACTTACTAGCTATGTGATCTGGAGCAAATTGCTTAACTATTCTGAATGTCATCTTGCCATCTTTCAGATGGGAACAGAAGTACCTAGACCATGGCATGGGATACCAAAAGGCCGTTATTATGATCAGTAGTGTGGACAAAGAAGGGGGTGCTCCTGGGAAGGGATGATAGAAAGACTGGACCATGGGCAGGAAGTGTGGCGGGAAGAGAATTTCATGACGTTTTCTGCACAATATTTTCCTAATAGTCATGCAACTCAGAAGGGTGAGTAAGAAATCTTCTCCCCAACTGTTTCTTTATGCTTTCTAAAGCTGTTTCCCACTCAAAACCACCCCACCTTGAGATGGGCTGGGTCATTATATTGTCTACCACACTGTAATATGGTTTCGTGACTTGACCAAGGTGAAGCTGCTGCTCCCAGAGTTAGAACTAGAACTTCTCAGCCTTGTGTGACTGAAGGCACAAAAAAGTGAAAGGTATTGTAAGAAATCATTCAGCAGGTTTGTGTACAAACTAGAATGCTCATGTCCTAACTGCTGGGCCAGTGTTATTTTGAAGAGGGTCTCTAGAATTGTAATAATATGGACATGTTAATATTAGTAACAACAATGATTATTACTGAATCTTCTATCTGTGCCAGGTGTGTGATATATACTATTTTAGTATATAGTACATTAGATGTGCAATAGACCTAATTTGTCCCAACAATCTTGAAAGATTATTGCTAATAAAAAAATAGTATATATATTAATGTTATATCTTGGTAATAATATTAATGTTATTAGCCCTATTCTACAGATAAGGAATCAGGCTTTAAGATACCCAGTTACCTCTTGTCCAAGTTCAGAGCTAGAAAGTCACACAACTAGCATCTGAGTTTTCAAAGCTCTTTCTCTTTGATCACTCCCAACATTTTTCCTTCTCCTATTGGATTGTACAATAACAATTGTGACTGAGAGTCTTCTAGCCAAGGAGCTCCATCCTTTGGCTTTTCTGCCCAGGTGACCAGTGGGAAGTTTCCTAGCTCTGAAAGAGATCCTGGTAACCTGACATATCCTGGACCTTGCACCTTTCTGTCAGAAGGAGTGAGAGGACTCAATCTGTTTACTGTGCTGCAGGTAGGTTTGAAATATATTATGGGCAGACTTTGAGTCTTGAGATCAACCACCACCACTTGTGCACGTGACGTGGTGAGTTTCAGAAGAACTTGAAGTACTGAAGTCCCCTTGATACTAGCATTCAGCAGCTGTTTGAGGCTTTGACCTCTCTTTTTCCCCTTGAGAAACTTGCCTTGCTTCTCCCTCCCCAGCAAGATGGGAAAGAGTAACTCTTATCTCCCTTACACATAGGTAACTTGAGCAGCTCAGATGGGCTGAGTGACTATACCAAATACCCTTGGCCACTTGGGGCTGGAACTGTGACTTGACGCTGTAGAAGCCTAGGATGCCAGAGCTGGAAGTGACACCATCTTACAGATGAGGCCACTAATAGAAACAACAGCAATAACAATAGCAACAAAAAGACCTAAAGCACTTACTAGGTGCCAAGCTCTGTTCTGACCCATTTGGTCCACCTAGCAGCCCCATGAGGCAGTCATGAGTACTCCCATTTTACAGTTGAGGAAACTGAGCCTCAGTGAGAGGTCAAGTCATTGGGCTGGCAGTAAGAGCTGTTAAGTAACAAATTGGAGTTCAAACTCAGATGTTCTGGCTCCAGAGTCCACCCTCATAAATGGGATGTGGGAAGTGGATGCTCTTGTTAAAATCAATTCCAGATCTGAGACTACAGCTCAGTCTCTAACACTAATGTCCAGAGTCGTTTATCCTACACCGTGAGAGGCCAGGTGGATCCATCCTAAAGTGCTATAAGTGGGGAAAGTACTGAACACAGAATGCTGTGATTGGCAGTTTCTGCCATGGGTGCCAAGGGAGCAAGGCAGCAAGTTTGCCAGCTGTAGGCCATCCTCTGATATTTGCAATGTAGATCTGGCCTTTCTGACACCAAGCCTCAATCTTTCCTTTCCAAACTGAAGCTTTTAAGTTGTACAAGCTTATCTGGTAGATTCTGTAATGCTTGATCTAGTTTTCACCTAAGCTCCAGCCATAGTCTAAGCCAAAGGAGGAAGAGAGCAGTGACCTGGCTGGTGTTGGAGGCTGTCTGAAACTCTCCGGCCAAGTGTGATGATATCATCCCATGATATTTCTTGAACAATTTATGTTGAGACATGGTGCTAGAGATGCTCGGACAGCAGACAACACACAAAGAATTTGACAACCACTGGAGAAGAGGGTGCTTGGACCTCTGGGAGGCCCTGAATGCCTTAGTGGTAAGGACATTCAGTCTGGGGAGTTTGGGGTATAGTAGAACTAGGTCCAATCCTGATTCTGTGACGTATTTAGCTTTGTGATCTGGGCAACCCCTCTGACTTTCAGCTACCACATCTATAGATAGATAATAACTGTCCCTATTCCCACAGGACTGATGAAGCATTTACTGTGTACCTCACACATATTAACTCATTTATATACATAATGACCCTGTGAGTTAGGTAGTATCCCCCTTTTACAGGTGAAAAGACTGAGATACAGAGCTTAAGTAAGTTACTCAAGGCCACATTGCTGTTAAGTAGCAGAGTGGGGCTGGTATTTGAACTCAGTCTGGTTCTAGCACATATGCTCTTAACCCCTATATTACACTTAGCTCTCATAGTTATATATATACACAAAGTTCTGAGGACAGCATCTGGTATGTGGTAGGTTCCCTATAGATGATGATGGTGGATGTCAATGCTAGTGATGCTATGCCAAACAGTAACCAGCTGTGCTAAGTACCAAGGACACTACAGCAATCAAGGGTAGCATGGAGAACTCTGGTGACCTGGGTGTCGGAGAACTAGCATTTACTGACCTCCTTGCCTTATACTTCACACATGGGCAGTATCGAAGGGCTTTAATCCCTAGTCAAAGCAAGAAAACACTGCTTGGAGATCACTGGCTCATTTTTCCATAGAACTGTTCTTACTGAATTATAATTTAATATTGTTTTTATCAAGGGTTGTTAGAAAAAGGTACCATATGGAGGTTAATTTTCATTTCCTACAAAAATGCCACAGAAGACAGTTTCTTGAAGGTTTTTGTGTGACCTTCTTCTAAAGGTTTGCTTGACAAATTGATCTCTGAATTTATAGCAAAGAGAGTGTGTTCCTCCTGGAGAACTGGTCTGCTTGCTTTAACCAGACATTTAATACTTAGCATCTTATCCCAGGTTCCTGGTGCAACTGACCTCTTTCCTTTCTGTGGTTCTGCTCCATACTCTTATAAATTTCCCTTCTAACTTCTCTATTGCCTCTGTTTTTACTATAAGTCACTTTCATCTCTTTTTGGAATTAGATACAGTATATGATATAAAATTATAAATAAACGGCCTAAAATATTTTCTATAAACTCAGCTTGTCAAGCCTCTCTTTCTTGGCAGGGAAACTGATTAGGTCAAGAATCTCCTGGTGATATGTCCATAGCACCATGATCTTCTTGAGGGAGATGTGCCTAAGAAAATAATTGAAAAATTTTCATCTTCTTTTCCTATAATAGTACTTCTTAATCTTTTGAGGTTCATACAAATTACCAGGGGCTCTGACTAAAAGCTCCATTCTGAGGTAGTAGTCCCAGGATGTAGTCTGAGGATCTGCATTTCTAACTAGCATCTAGCTGATGCTAATGCTGCTGGTCCAGGAACCACATTTTGAGAAGCAAGATTTATGGAGACCAGGAGATGACAGACTACTTCCTCCAGGCCAAAACTGGTCATGAATAAGGTTTTGTTGGGACACAGCCACATCAATTCATTTGCATGTTGTCTATAGTCGCTTTCATTGAGTAGGTATGATGGGCTATGTGGCCCACAAAGCTAAAAGTATTTCTTACCTGGCCCTTTGCAGAACAAGCTCACTGAGCCCTGATTTAGACTGTCAGCCTCAGGAGGCAGGGACACAGATGTTCAAGAATGATTTGAATAAATGAAATCAATTGTTGTTTTATTGTCCCAACAATACCCTGGAGGAGTTAAACACTTCAGTGTTTCCTTCCTCTGCAGGGCCTGTTAGGACCTTGCTTGCTTCCACTTCCTCTGGCTGGAATCTTTGCATTTCCGAGGGTGCTCCCGGAACCTGGTGACAGCATCAAGGGGGGGGGGGACGGGGGGAATGCATTTTCCTCCCAAGAAGCTACAGTGCAGTAATTAATTCATTGTTCAAATTTCAGAGCAGGCAGGGTTTTAATCCCCTCTGAAATTGGTTTCGGATGTGGAAGTCCTAGCTCTCCACCCTCTAATTGCAATGGGGAGATAATGTGGCATGAGTATCACAATTTCAAGCACGGCACCAGGCTGGAAATCAATACCATTTAAGCTTTGCAAGCATGGCTGGCTGGAAACGTTTCCTTTTCTATTTCACACATTTAATGCAGAGAAGGGGTTGTGCTTATTCAAAAGAACGGCTCCTTTGGAGGCAAGAAAAAAAAAATTAAACGGGAATTTTGAATTCTAAGTAAACAGTCTCTCATGCTCAGAGTGAGTTTCAAGTTAAATAGAGTGACTTGTTTGCATAGACTTGCTGAATATTACCATCCAGTTTATCGAATTTACATTATTTTTTGTCATGCTGTTTATTTACATATACATTGAACTGTGCACAAAAATGCTTACTCTTGAGTGAGGGCAACTGTGACAGTGCCTAAATCAGGACTGGGAGAATGGAACAAGGGGACAGAATGCAATTTCACAGCTGCTACTTGGCTAATGCGTTTCTCTGCCATCACTCTACTCTTAATCCTCCCTTTTTCCTTATGCAAACAGGAATCAGATTCTACTTGGAGACTCTTGGGGATTATTCAAAGGTCCTTGAACTAGGTAATGAAAACTCGGGCCCCTCGTTCCCTCCCTTAGTACAGCAATGTTCTGGCTTCTTTCAATACCCATTGTTAATCAAGGGCTTTCAAATAAGAGCCTGTGACACTTTTAATAGCTCAGTTGGTGTGTGCCTGCTTTGGGCCCTTATCAACAAGACAGAAATGAGCATATTTTTTTAGGAGAAACAATGCTATCTTCCTATGATTGTATCTGTATAGTTACATGCTTTCCTGAGCTCTGACACTAAAGCCGCTTGACAATACTTCTAGGGACAGAGGGAGTCCAAGTGTCTCCATATTATTGATGAAGAAACCTAGGTTCAGAGAGGTTAAGTAACTCTTCTAAGTTCACACAGTATGCTAGAGTCAGGCAAGACTAAAACCCAGATGATCTCCCCAATCTAAACATTTTTGCCACTAGACATTTAATGTCCTGACCTCTGTGAATTCCCTGCTGGGAAGGCTGGGGAAGCTGAAGTGATACATAGTCTCAGGCAGAAGCCAGGGACTCCAGCCTTAAACCTGTACTCTCCCAAGGGGTGGGGTATGGCTCTTGCATTGGGGTGGCTCTATCTGGGGAGAAAATTTAAGATACATGTCAGGCTAATTATCCTTCAAGTCCTTTTTTCTTGTAGTCAGAAAGTAAATCTCATTTATGGAGTCCATCTAAGAGCAATGACAATAGCAATAATGATAAAAATAATGGCTGACTTTATAGGATGATTACTATATGCTAATAACTTTATATACACGCTCTCATTTAATCCTTCTAGCAAATATAGGAGAAAGGTACTATTATCATCCCCATTTTATGGATGGTAAAACTAAGGTATAAGGCCATTACCAAATATAAGAGCCTAGATTTGAACCAAATGCGTTCAACTCCAGAGGCCATGCTTGTAACCACTCATGTTGCCTTCTATGTACCAGGTGCTTTCCATACAGTATTGCTAATGCTCACGAGAGTCTTAGCCCATTTTACCAAAGAAGAAATTGAGACCCAGAGAAGTGAATTATATTGCTCAAGTTCACAGAGCTAGTAGGAAAGAGTTTCAGGATTCAAAATCTAGGCCAGCCTGGTTTGTCTTACCACTGTGGTAGGAGTGGGTCCCCTGGCAGGGCCTCCCAAGGCCTGGGCAGGTCACCATAGTGCTACTCACCACGTTCTTGTAGAAGTAGTACACCACCATCCTGGCCAGGCGCGAGTAACACCAGTGGCCATGCACAAGCAGCAGCTTCTTGAGGTGTCTGAAGCGGGATATGGCAAAGTCGCTGGACATAACAGCCTGAGAGGGCAGAACAGAGACATCGGCTTCTATCCATGGCCACCAATGAACCAAAGAGTCTCCCTCGAGGGCTATGCTTTGTTTTAGGTCCATAAGCTGGAAGGGCCAACTTTGTCACTCTGTGGCACCTAAGGTAGTTCTTTGGAATTGGACAACCCATCCTTTCTTCTGGAAACTCCAAACCTCACTGGAATCCAAGAAAGCAGCTTGTAAGGAACTAGTGGTCTAGTCTGTCCCTCCATCTCCTTCTCTTTATCTGATAAACATTAACTGTGGCCTAAAATGTGTTGACACCATGCTAGAGATGTGATGGCTAACCAGAAAGTAGGGGCTTCCATGCAAGCAATCCTCAATGCTCTCAACCCCCTTGGTCGCCTCCTGTGGCAGACCATTTGTTCCGTTCTTAGATGGAGCTGATGGCGGGATAGCTCTTCCTTTACATGGAGCTGAAATATGCTTTCTGCCCTTGGGATTATTCAGAACATGACATAGTTCATGGTACTCTTAAAAGTATGAGGTTTGGAAGTGCCTGGTTATAGACCCTGGTAGGTCAGGCTGTTTAAAGTTTCCCAGCATCCATTTCATTTGAAAAAGAGAGAGTAATAATTCCTAACACACAGGGTTGTGATTGTTCAAATTAATTGGAGTAATAAATGTGAGGTGCCTAATACAGTGCTGGCATATGGTAGATACTCAAAAGGTAACTGTGTTCTTTCATCCTCACCAACAAATTTAGGCAATGCCTCCTGTCTGCACCAGTGGTGAGAATACAGTTGTTAATGGTTCAGAGCCACAAAGTGGGGTCTATATTAGTAGGAAACATTAGCAGCTCAAGTTAGTATGCTTGTCCCAACCTGAATTTTGACTCCACTAGGTACACTTATTAAAGTGTACCTTATAGGGAGGAGCAAGATTGCGGAGGAGTAGGAGACCTGGATTTCGCCTGGTTCCAGGAATTCAGCTGGATAGGGATCAAACCATTCTGAACACCTATGAACTCAACAGGAGATCGAAGAAAAGAATAGCAGCAACTCTCTGAACAGTAAAGCGACCACCTTCTGGAAGGTAGGACGGGCGGAGAAGTGAATCCGAGGCGATACTCGGGAGGACAGACGGCGGGGGCCTCTGTCGGCCGCTTCTGGCAAGTGATAGAGCCGCGGAGCACAAAATCAGAACTTTTAGAAGTTGGCTCTGCTGAGGGACGTCGCTCCAGTGGCTAAGCGGGGGGTGGAACCCTCGTGGGACAGTGTGGTCTTAGGACCCTCAGGGTCACAGGAAGACCGGGGGTGCTGGAGTGTGGCAGACTCCCAGGTATCAGAGTGGGGAAGCTGGCTGCAGAGACGGAGCCGAGGAGTGGGCTCTCAGCTCGGGGTTGCCATACACCATGATCCGCAGCACGGTCGGGCCACTGCTCCTCCAGCAGGGACCCAACAAGCGGCAGATCTGGGGAGACTCCCCTTCCCCCCCCCCAGGAGGAGCAGCGTGGGAGTGCACTGCAGGGATCTGCTGGGTCTGGAGACTCCAAACCGAGTCGGGTGCCAGAGATAGAAACACTTGGTAACAGGCCGGGTGAGCACAGAGTGCGGCTGGAGACCGGGGAGACGGGAGTGACTGACTGCTTTTCTCTGGGGGTGCACTGAGAAGCGGGCCCCCAAGTTCTCGGCTCCTCTGGGGCAGAGATTGGGAGGCCACCATTTCACTCTCATCCTCCAAAACTGTACGGAAAGATTGCAGGGAACAAAAGCTCCTGAGAGCAAACCCGAGCAGATTACTTAGCCCGGACTGGCAAGGGTGGGGCAATTCCGCCTCTGGCAAAGACATTTGGGAACCACGGCAACAGGCCCCTCCCCCAGAAGATCAGCAAGAACAGCCAGCCAAGACCAAGTTTACCGATCAATGAGAATGGCAGAACTCCAGTGCTAGGGGAATACAGCACATAGAATTCATGGCTTTTTCCCCATGATTCTTTAGTCTTTCAAAGTTAATTTTTTAAATTTTATATTTTTTTTGAATTTTTTTTCCCTTTTTCAACCAACATCTTATCAATCCCTTTTTAAAAAATCTTTATTTTTCATTTTTAGAGCCATATTCTATCCCTTCATAGTACTTAACTTTATTTTTGGTATATATTAAGTTGTTCTTTCTTTAAAATTTTGGGATACAGTTTCTTCTAACAGAGCAAAATATACCCTAAATCTCTAGTGTATGGCTTTGTTCTAGTCTCCTGCCTGATCACATTCTCTCTCTCCTTTTTAAAAATTTCTCTTCTTTCTTTTTTCAAACAACTTATTTCCTTTTATAAAATCTTTTATAATTTTCATCTTTACAGTCATATTCCATCCCTTCATTGTATTTACCCTTATTTTTGTACATATATATAAGCTGTTCTTTAAAATTTTGGGAGGCAGTTTCTTCTAACAGACCAAAAGATGCCCCAAATCTAGTGTGTGACACTTATCTATTCACCAGCCTGACCATATTTGATCATATTCTTTTTTTTATCTTTGTTTCTTTCTTTCCCTTTCTTTTCCCCTGGTTTCAGGTCTCTTCTGATTTGTTTAGTGTATCTTTTTCTGGGGTCATTGTTACCCTGTTAGCATTTTGTTCTCTCATTCATCTATTCTCCTCTGGACAAAATGACAAGATGGAAAAAAATCACCTCAAAAAAAAGAACAAGAGGCAGTACTGACTACCAATATGGACATTAGTAAGATGTCAGAACTGGAGTTCAGAATGACGATTTAAAAGATACTAGCTGGGCTTGAAAACATGTAAGATATTAGAGAAACCCTTTCTGGAGAAATAAAAGAACTAAAATCTAACCAAGTTGAAATAAAAAAGGCCATTAATGAGGTGCAATAAAAAATGGAGGCTCTAATTGCTAGGATAAATGAGGCAGAAGAGAGAATTAGTGATATAGAAGACCAAATGATGGAAAATAAAGAAGCTGAGAAAAATAAACAACTACTGCAAGGGCAGAATTTGAGAGCTAGGTGATACCATAAAATGAAACAACATTAAAGAAGTGAGAGAGAGAGGGGCAGAAAGTACATTGGAGCAAATTATAGCAGAAAACTTCCCTAATTTGGGGAAGGAAACAGGCATCAAAATCCAGGAGGCACAGAGAACTCCTCTCAAAATCAATAAAAATAGGTCAACACCCCAACATCTAATAGTAAAAGTTACGAGTCTCAGAGACAAAGAGAAAATCCTGAAAGCAGCTCAGGAGAAGAGATCTGTAATTAGATTGCCAACAGACCTATCCAGAGACCTGGCAGGCCAGAAAGGATTGGCATGATATATTCAGAGTACTAAATGAGAAAAATATGCAGCCAAGAATACTATATCCAGCTATGCTGCCATTTAAAATAGATAAAAAGCTTCCAGGACAAACAAAAACTAAAGGAATTTGCAAACATGAAACCAGCCCTACAAGAAATATTGAAAGGGGTCCTCTAAGCAAAGAGAGAGCCTAAATGCAACATAGACCAGAAAGGAACACAGACAATATACAGTAACAGTCACCTTACAGGCAATACAATGACACTAAATTCATATGTTTCAATAGTTACCCTGAATGTAAATGGGCTAAATGACCCAATCAAAAGACCCAGGGTATCAGCATGGATAAAAAAATAAGACCCATCGATATTCTGTCTGCAAGAGACTCACTTTAGACCCGAAGACACCTCCAGATTGAAAGTGAGGGGTTGGAAAACCATTTACCATGCTAATGGACACCAAAAGAAAGCTGGGGTGGCAATCCTTATATCAGACAAATTAGATTTTAAACGAAAGACTGTAATAAGAGATGAGGAAGGACACTATATCATACTTAAAGGGTCTATCCAACAAGAAGATCTAACAGTTGTAAATATCTATGCCTCTAACATGGGAGCAGCCAATTATATAAGCCAATTAATAACAAAAGCAAAGAAACACATCGACAACAATACAATAATAGTGGGGGACTTTAACACCCCCTCACTGAAATGGACAGATCATCTAAGCAAAAGATCAACAAGGAAATAAAGATTTTAAATGACTCACTGGACTAAATATTCAGAACATTCCATCCCAAAGCACCAGAGTACACATTCCTCTCTAGTGCCCATCCTAGGTCATAAATCAGGTCCCAACATGTACCAAAAGATTGGGATCATTCTCTGCCTATTTTCAGACCACAGTGCTTTGAAACTAGAACTCAATCACAAGAGGAAAGTCACAAAGAACTCAAATACATGGAGGCTAAAGAGCATCCTACTAAAGAATGAAGGGGTCAATGAGGAAATTAAATAATTAAAAAAATTCATGGAAACAAATGAAAATGAAAACACAACTGTTCAAAATCTTTGGGATGCAGCAAAGGCAGTCCTAAGAGGAAAGGATATAGCAACACAAGCCTTTCTCAAGAAACAAGAAAGGTCTCAAATATACAACCTAACCCACACCTAAAGGAGCTGGAGAAAAAACAGCAAATAAAGCCTAAACCCAGCAGGAGAAGAGAAATACTAAAGATCAGAGCAGAAATCAATGAAATAGAAACCAAAAGAACAGTAGAACAGATCAATGAAACTAGGAGTTGGTTCTTTGAAAGAATTAACAAGATTGATAAACCCCTGGCCAGACTTATCAAAAAGAGAAGAGAAATGACCCAAATCAACAAAATCATGAATGAAAGAGGAGAGGTCACAACCAACACCAAAGAAATACAAACAATTATAAGCAACTCTTATAATTATAAGCTCATATTATGAGCAACTCTATGCCAGCAAATTAGATAACCTGGAAGAAATGGATGCATTCATAGAGATGTATCAACTACCAAAACTGAACCAGGAAGAAACAGAAAACCTGAACAGACCTATAACCACTGAGGACATTGAAGCAGTCATCAAAAATCTCCCATCAAACAAGAGCTCAGGGCCAGATGGCTTCCCAGGGGAACTGTACCAAACATTTAAAGAAGAATTAATACCTATTCTTCTGAAAATGTTCCAAAAAATAGAAATGGAAGGAAAACTTCCAAACTCGTTTTATGAGGGCACCATTACCTTGATCCCCAAACCAGACAAAGACCCCATCAAAAAGGAGAATTACAGACCAATATCCTAGGTGAACATGGATGCAAATATTCTCACCAAAATACTAGCCAATAGGATCCAATAGTCCATTAAAAGGATTATTTACCACGACCAAGTGGGATTTATTCCTGGGCTGCAAGTTTGGTTCAACATCCACAAATCAATCAATGTGATACAATACATTAATAAAAGAAAGAACAAGAACCATATGATCCTCTCAATAGATGCAGAAAAAGCATTTGACAAAGTACAGCGTCCTTTCTTGATCAAAACTCTTCAGAGTATAGGGATAGAGGGTACATACCTCAATATCATAAAAGCCATTTATGAAAAACCCACAGCGAATATCATTCTCAATGGGGAAAAACTGAGAGCTTTCCCCCTAAGGTCAGGAATGCAGCAGGAATGTCCGCTATCACCACTGCTATTCAACATAGTATTAGAAGTCCTAGCCACAGCAATCAGACAACAAAAAGAAATAAAAGGTATCCAAATCAGCAAAGAAGAAGTCAAACTCTCACTCTTTGCAGATGATATGATACTTTATGTGGAAAACCCCAAAGACTCCACCCCAAAACTGCTAGAACTCATACAGGAATTCAGTCAAGTGGCAGGATATAAAATCAATGCACAGAAGTCAGTGGCATTCCTATACACCAACAACAAGACAGAAGAAAGAGAAATTAAGGAGTCAATCCCATTTACAATTGCACCCAAAACCATAAGATACCTAGGAATAAATCTAAAGAGGCAAAGAATCTGTACTCAGAAAACTATAAAATACTCATGAAAGAAATTGAGGAAGACACAAAGAAATGGAAAAACGTTCCATGCTCATGGATTGGAAGAACAAATATTGTGAAGATGTCAATGCTACCTTGAGCACTCTACACATTCAATGCAATCCCCATCAAAATACCATCCACTTTTTTCAAAGAAATGGAACAAATAATCCTAAAATTTGTATCGAACCAGGAAAGATCCTGAATAGCCAGAGGAATGTTGAAAAAGAAAAGCAAAGCTGGTGGCATCACAATTCCAGACTTCAAGCTCTATTAGCACTGGGTGTTATGTGCAAACAATCAATCATGGAACATTACATCAAAAACTAATGATGTAATGTATGGTGATTAACATAACATAATAATAAAAAAATGTGAAAAAAAAGCTGTAATCATCAAGACAGTATGGTACTGGCACAAAAACAGACACCTAGATCAATGGAACAGAATAGAGAGCCCAGAAATAGACCCTCAACTCTATGGTCAACTAATCTTCGACAAAGCAGGAAAGAATGTCCAGTGGCAAAAAGACAGTCTCTTCAACAAATGATGTTGGGAAAATTGGACAGCCACATGCAGAAGAATGAAACTGGACCATTTTCTTACACCACACACAAAAATAGACTCAAAATGGTTGAAAGACCTAAATGTGAGACAGGAGTCCATCAAAATCCTAGAGGAGAACACAGGCAGCAACCTCTTTGACCTCAGCCACAGCAACTTCTTCCTAGAAACATCACCAAAGGCAAGGGAAGCAAGGGCAAAAATGAACTATTGGGACCTCATCAAGATAAAAAGCTTTTGCACAGCAAAAGAAACAGTCAACAAAACCAAAAGACAACCGACATAATGGGAGAAGATATTTGCAAATGACATATCAGATAAAGGGCTAGTATCCCAAATCTATAAAGAACTTATCAAATTCAACACCCAAAGAATAATCCAATCAAGAAATGGGCAGAAGACATGAAGAGACATTTTTCCAAAGAAGACATCCAAATGGCCAACAGACACATGAAAAAGTGCTCAACATCACTCCGCATCAGGGAAATCCAAATCAAAACCTCACACCAGTCAGAATGGCTAAAATTAAGAAGTCAGGAAATGACAGATGTTGGCGGGGATGTGGAGAAAGGGGAACCCTCCTACACTGTTGGTGGGAATGCAAGCTGGTGCAGCCACTCTGGAAAACAGTATGGAGGTTCCTCAAAAAGTTGAAAATAGAGTTATCATATGACCCAGCAATTGCACTACTGGGTATTTACCCAGATACAAATGTAGTGATCTGAAGGGGTACGTGCAACCTGATGTTTATAGCAGCAATGTCCACAATAGCCCAACTCTGGAAAGAGCCAAGATGTCCATCGACAGATGAATGGATAAAGAAGATTTGGTATATATATACAATGGAATATTATGCAGCCATCAAAAGGAATGAAATCTTGCCATTTGCAACAACGTGGATGGAACTGGAGGGTATTATGCTGAGCGAAATAAGTCAAACAGAGAAAGACATGTATCATATGGCCTCACTGATATGAGGAATTCTTAATCTCAGGAAACAAACTGAGGATTGCTGGAGTGATGGGGGTTGGGAGGCATGGGGTGGATGGGTGATAGACATTGGGGAGGGTATGTGCTATGGTGAGTGCTGCAAATTGTGTAAGACTGATGAATTACAGACCTGTACCTCTGAAACAAATAATACATTATATGTTGAAAAAAAGAAGATAGTAGGAAGGGAAAAATGAAGGGGGGAAAATCGGAGGGGGAGACGAACCATGAGAAACTATGGACTCTGAAAAACAAACTGAGGGTTCTAGAGGGGAGGGGGGTTGGGGGGATGGGTTAGCCTGGTGATGGGTATTAAATAGGGCATGTACTGAGTGGAGCACTGGGTGTTATATGCAAACAATGAATCATGGAAGACTACATCAAAAACTAATGATGCAATGTATGGTGATTAACCTAACATAATAAAATAAAAAATAACGCAAAAAAAAATAAAGTGTACCTTATAATTTATATGTCATTCTGGCCATCAAGACTAAAATGGCAATTGAAAAATGTTTTCAAATGTTCTTTTATCTGTCACTGCTCATGGAGGGCACTGCACTCTTGGATGTGGGTAGAGGTTATAGAGGGGAAGAATGTAGTCAGTGGAAAACTTAGCCCTTCCTGAATGGTTGGGTACTCTTTGGCATTAGAATACAGGTATTGCTGGCTGTCTATAAAAAAGCTAAGCCCCCTCAAGGTCCTGGAAACCTTGCTTCCAAAATTCCTTAGAGACTTACGCTATCTGTAGCCCCCTCCCAACTTGAAAGTATATAATGGGCCACTCCCCATGACCCCGGTGCAGCTCTTTCTGCCCACAGGTCTTTTCCCCATGCTTTAATAAAACCACGTTTTTGGCCCCCCCCCCCAAAAAAAAAGGCTAAGCATCCTTCAATTTTCCTCTGTATCAGAGGGACTGGGCAGCAGGGATATAGTGATGGAGATTATGTATAGGCATGGAAGCTCTGTGACTCTCAGATGATAATTCTGCAAAGGTCTTGGGGAGAAGTTCCTCCAACACTGTGGGGGAATTCCATAACTCTCCAATAAGGATCAAGGAGAGGGAAGAAATGAGAAGAATACCTGCATGCCTTCCTGTCCAGATATCCCAATTCCAATGTCAGCAGCTTGAATCATGCTTACATCATTTGCTCCATCACCTGAAAAGAGAGAGATCATGAGTTGTCTTCCTGGTCTAACTGCTGCAGGACAATGAAAAGGGTGTTACACGAATGGCTCTAAAGTATCACCATTTGTACATAACTGAATAGTTTTAACATTGTTCTGAATAGTCCCATAGGAAAAGTCATTGCTACAGTATTTGGCCTGATAGAGGTCTTTTCTTCTTTGATAAGAAGCTCTATTTATTATTTGACAAATGTTTATTGTGTCTTTTTTCTAGGCACAATATTAGATATTGGGAATACAACCGTGAGTGAGGCTGGGGCAGTGCTTTACAGTTTACAAAAAAAGACCTTCACAAATGTTACAAATGGAGAATTTGAGCAACATAGAGATTCTATGGGTAAACCAGCTAGGGAAGGGGCCCAGGAGCATTGGCATGAAGATGTTTGCTACCTTTCCTAACTCAGTATAAGCTAAAATATTTATCATATTAAGACCATTAAATATTTATCATATTAAGACCATTGGAATGTCTGGACAGCTAAATCATCAGATTGTCAATGGTGTCCAAGGACAGGGATGGTGTTCAATTTTGTTTCTGAATATAGGAAAATGGGATTGACTGATTTTTTTTTTTGGTTGAGGAACATTTAGTCACACTGAGTTCCCATTTAATGAACTAAGGTGTTTCAGGAAATTGGAGGTTAGTGCATGGAAATACACAGCCTCCAGCACTGTCATATAGGTTTTCTGTGATGTTGGAAATATCCTATATCTTTACTGTCTAATATGGAAACCATTTGTTGGGGGAACGGACAGTAGCTGTGGTGAAGGATGTGGCCTTAGGGTTAGTGGAAACCAGATTGTGAAGATTCTTATAAACCAGGTTTGCTTGTTCCTGGAGGGTTTGATGTAGGTACAGTTTTTATTTCTCTGCCTTAACCACGATTAAAGTTTAGTCTCCTATGAGGAATTTTTTCAACAACCAACAGGTCAGCATTTGTTGAGTGTATGCTCTGTGCTGGGCCTTGTATGTAGGAACGAACATATGGGATAGGCTCAACTTCTACAATCTCCCCACCATCCATCAGCACTCAGCAGAATGTCAAATCCACAAACACCTGAGGTTTGTATTATTATGCCAGGTGTTAAGTATCAAAAGGGGAATGGTCTGTATCCCAGAACTGAACTGGCCTGAGTGTATATTACTGAGTTATGTGAATGTTCTGAATTTGAGGCTCCTTCTGGCTTTAACCTCCATTCAAGTCTTAATTTTTCTTAGTGACCTGCTAATCCTGAGAACTTTGATTCACTCTCCCACTCTACTTAGCCTCTGCTTCATCTCCTGGCTGCCACGTTTTTGCTGTCACTTTGAACTCTCTCAGTCTAAGACAGTGATCCTCAGCCTGGGTATCTCGACTTTGATACATGACCTCCCACCTCTGGTCCAGGTCTCTTGTCAGATCAGCCTCACAAGCTGCACCCACATCTCAGCATGATGAATACCTATGGAAAGGGTCATGACGCTCAACTTGTCTCGGACCAGCTTGACTATCATACTCTTCTGGAGCGGGGTGGAACGACAGCATAGGACAGACCGGCAATACTGAGTCAACTCTAAAAATTTCATCTCCAGTTTTCCCTGGAAAATGGCATTCAATGTCTTCCCATCGATGACCAATCCAACTTCTGGAATTGCAGCTCTTGAGGTGGGGGGTAGTGTCTCAGAAGGTAGACAGAATCCAAAGAGCTTGTGGTCTGGCTTCTGTGGTCCATGAAATTGCTTTACTTCTTCCAGTGCACAGTTGAGGATGGATTCACAAGTTTCCTATAGAGTTGGAATAATAAATATGGTATTAGTAAGCAACACTGGAAATGTAGGTTAAAGTTCTCACTTTATCCTTTAGTAAAATAGTTATGAAACTCTACCACCACAGATATTACCCAGGAATCATTCTCTGATTTCTCTCATTTCTCTACAGTATTTAAAAAGGCATGAAAGCAATATTAATTTAAAGCAAATTAATGGCAAAATAGAGATAGCTAGGGAATGGGAGTGGAAGTAGCTCAGCAAGATGGGGACTGATTGAAGGATGGTATAAGCTAATAAAAATAGAATGTGATGGTCAATAATGAAAATGTCATAATGGTATAGTGCTTTTTATTTCTCACAAGTCCTTTTAGTTCTCCCGAGGAAACTGAGTGATGAGGAAATTGAAACAGTGAAATCATTAGTAACTTGCCCTAACTCATCCAACTTATAGTGGAGGCAGATCATTACTAATCAAATTCTGGCTTTTAATTGAAAAAATACATTGTATGTTTATCTGTTGGTATGAATGTGTTGGTCATATTGGTTAAAACTGACTATGAATGTGAACATCTTACTGATGTAAAGAAACTTCCTACTGATTTCTTCTGATGTTTACCTTGAAACATACTGAAGAACTTATTTGCTCTTATCAATTTTCCTTTTACTTTTAATTATATCAGAGAGAAAGTCACATTTTGGTTCTAAATATATCCTTAGTATCTCTTTAGATTTTGCAATATTACTTTCAAATAAAGATAGAGAAAAGTTGTGGCAGTCAACTGTATTATCAATTTTAATAGCATTGTTTTGTTCACATGATTTTTATTTTTTTATAAACTTTAAAAAATTTTAAATTCAATTAATTAACATATATTATTATTTTCAGAGGTAGAGGTCAGTGATTCATCAGTCTCATATAATACCCAGTGCTCATTACATCAAGTGCCCTCCTTAATGCCCATCACCCAGTTACCCCATCCCTCCACCTTCCTCCCCTCCAGCAACCCTCAGTTTCCTATGATTAAGAATCTCTTATGGTTTATCTCCCTCTCTGATTTTGTCCACATGATCTTTATTTAGCAGTGTTCTTTTACCCATGGCAACGATGATTTTCATTTACTGTAGTGCTAAAAAAATTCTAAAAATAAATTTAAGTGTTTAAAGTCAGTCAATTTCAATGAAATGATTAAATAAAAAAAACAGAACAGGTAATATGTGGTTTTAGGCAAAAATTGTGAAGATTGTTCTGATATGATAGGTTTGGGGACTGTTGATCTAGAAGCTTCTGAGAATATTTGGAATCATTTATTCTGGAGTGAGTACAACTGCAGTTAATCATTCCTGAGTCTTCCCTTAGGGGATGCTAAATTGAGTGTTGCAAGCAATAGGGTATGCCCAGAACGTAGAGGGGTGACAGGAAGTAGTTCCAGGAGTGGGTGGTTATGCCTGAGACATTTATCTGGGAAAGAGATCAAGACAGTCCTTGCTGGGAGTTGGGGCCAGCACATATTATATAAATTTCTCCAACATATGGCTGCAGGAAGTCATTGGAGATATAAGTTTCAAAATAAAATCTCTGAATTTACTTATTTCAAAGTGTGATATAATAACCACAATAGTTACCATTCATTTAACCTTTAGTATATGCCCGGTATTGTGGTAGGGAGCCTCTATGATGGTTCTCAATGATCCCTGCCCTCTTGGGATGCATGCCCCTGTGTAATCATTTACCTTGAGTGTGAGCCACATCTAGAAATTCCTTTCTAATGTAGAGAATTCTGCAAAGGTGATGCGATGTCACTTCCCAGATTAGCTTATACAAAGACTATGGGTTCCAATTTGGCACTCTTTTCCCTCTCTCTTGGATGGCTAGCTGTGGGGGAAAACAGCTGCCATGTTGTAAGGAAGCCACTCTATGGAGAGGCCCACATAGTGAGGAATTGAAGTTTTCCAGCAATCATGTCTGTGAGCTTGGAAGAAGGCCTTCTCTCCATGCCCAAACAACCCACCGGTTGAACCTTCAGATGAGCCCACAGCCCTGACTGACAGCTTGACTGCAGCCTCCAGAAAGACCCTGAACCAGAGGTACCCAGCTAAGCTGCCCCTGGACTCCTAACCCACAGAAACTGTGGGATAATAAATGTTGGTTGTTTGTAGTCGTTAAATTTTGGAGTAATTTCTTAACTAACACAAATACTGTGCTGTTAAGTATTTTTTTCTGTGATCTTATTTAATCCTCCCAATAGCCTCTGAAATAAATCTTTCTAATCCCTATTTTACATATGAGGAGGGTGAAGTTTAGGGAGGTATGGTACCTGGATCATATTAAGTTTTCAATATATGTTACTAATAATGATAATAATCCTTACTGTTAGTAGTTTCTATCTAATACTTTAGTCCCTTCTAAATTCCTTGACAGATCAGCCCTTTCAGTGATGGGTTAGTAATTCTCTCATTTTATGGATGTGAACTCTGAGGTCTAGAGACCTGCTTATAGCTTTAAGGTACATAACAAAGAAACAGTAGCCCTATATTAATTTATAATGAGTTAGGCAGATTAAAACCCTTGGAGGGATTATTCACTGAATATATAATTACATTAAACTAGGGTTTAAGTAAATCGGAGATTTGGAATGGATTTCCCCAGTTTCTGGCTTAAAATATCCATGTAGCCACCACTTTTTCCCTGGTAAGGGGGTGAGAAAGACTAATCTTAGAGGTTTAGTGGGCTCAGGGTGTGGACAGGACCTAACTTTCAGATACTATCTGAGAGGGTCCCAGACAGCTTTAAATGAGTCAAAAGTGACTGACAAAACATGAAATGTGACCCACTGTTCCTTAGGATCGTTGGCTAATTAATTGCTAAACATCTTCAGCTTCCTAGAGAAATGCATTGCATTTAACAGAAACCACAAAAGCCCACTCTATCCCTCTTGAGTTGACTGACTCAGAAGTTTTCCCGTGTCCTCCTTCTGGAATCACCTGGAGCGAAATAATCATTGCAAATAGAATTTCCATTGCAAGCGGGGCAGGCAGATATCAATGTTATTACAGGGATCAAAAACTCAAGTAAGCAGCAAATTACTTTCTTTCCTAAGCATAATATTAATGCCAGAGATTTCCCCAAGATTATTTTCATTTTGAAAATTCACTGGGGTTTAATCTAATCATAACATAATCTGTGCACTGGACAAGAAAGTGATTTTTCCAATTCTTATAAAGGGCCTCAGGCATTACTCATAGTATACACTACTTTTTAAAAAAATGTGTGTATGTGGATTCTTTATGGAATAAAAACCAGATTTAAACCTCCTAAACTTCTATTCTGGGCCCAATCAGTCTTAAGCAAAACTGAAAGAGTGAGGTTCCAGCATCTTCCCTGCCTCCTTTTTCTGTGCTGTTCTTTCCTGTCTTCTTCCCTCTTCTCCATCCTTTCCCCCATGGTACGCCTAGGTCTCCCAGGGCCCTCCTCCCACCACCCTCCAATTCGGTGCTTTTCCTGCTTGTTTCCTTTTGGTGGGAGCATACATCTCAGTGCCTACTTCCCATATTCATCAGCCAAGATGCTGGAACTTCACTTTCTTCAGTTTGCATTATGAAAATAGATTTTTTTCTCCTAAATATAAAATTGTATTATAAGTTTGAATACTCTTCCTCAGACTTTACACAGTCCTTTCTCCAAACCCCATCCCCTGCCGCCCACAACCTACTGGGGGTTGAAAACTGCAGTTTTAGGACTCTGCTTCTCCCTTTCTCTTTCTCTCTCTCTCCTCCCATCAAAACATACTGGTCTCATGAATAATTCCCTTCAGGTTTTATTCTGTGGGAAACCAATTTGACATATAAGTTGGAGCTGAAATTTTAAACTCAGAATCATTTTAACTTACATGGGGCTTTTTCAATGGGAGAGTTAATCCAAAGTATAAGAAACTAACAACTGGGGTTCTGTGAACAAATAATGTGGTATAATGCAGATGCACTGGCCTGGCAGGAGGACAGTGTTATAGATTTAGTTCTCTTAGAAACTACCAGGGTGACCCTGGGCAAGTGACTTAGTCTCAAGGGTCTTTAGTTTCCTCATTTGTAAAATGCGGAGATTGGGCCACGGATGGAATTTGGAAGATCAAAACTTTCTAACATGTACTACTTAAATGTAATATAATCAAACTGGTCAATGATACATGGGGATGAGGTGGATGACTTCTGGGGACCTCTGAGCTCCAAGGTTCAGTGATATTTCAGGGGTAGGGGTGCTTCCCTGTGTACCCAAATCCCACCCATAAGCCTATCTCTTGTTGGCCTAGGGGCTGTTCTGCACTTGGACATCTGGTCCCTACTTTGGCCTTACCTGACTTTCTGTATTAATGGAGTAAACAGTGTCAGTCTGATCTAACAATCCGCAGGAATAGGCAATATTGACTGCTGTCTCCTGCTTATCTCCAGTCAAGACCCAGAGCTGGATCCCAGCCTCCCGCAGAGCAGCGATTGTATCTGGAACCCCTTCTTGTAGCCGGTCTTCAATCCCAGTGGCTCCTAGAGTGATCAAAGAGCTTATAATTAGAGTGAAAAACTGCTTAAGTTCTCTAAAGCCCTATCAAGCCAGATAGTGATTATTAAATATCTCCCATGTTCTAGGCTGTCCTAAGCACCCAGGATACAGAGCCTGTCTCTACCCTCTTGCAACTCAAAAGCTTGTTGAAAAAGGATTTATAACTGAACTATAGGAGAAGAAAAGCCCAGGGTGCCAGGTGAACATATACTAGGAGACCTGAACTTCATCTAGAAAATCAGGGACAATCTTGTTAGGAAGTGCCATTTGAGCTCAGACCCGGAAGATAAGCCAAGAAGTGGTAAAGGAAGAGAATTCCAGGTAGAGGGATGAGCGTGTATGAAGGCCCAGAGGTCAGAGTAGAAGAAGGCACAGAAAGGGAGGCAGAGTGTGGTGAAAGATTGGGCCAGGAAGGGAGGTAAGGCTGCTGGATCATGCAGAGCCTTGTGAGGGCATTACAGGATTTCGGATTTATTTGGTAGATAAGAAAGCTATTTAGGGGAGTTAAGGAGAGTGACAGGATCAGTTCTGAGTTTTTAGAAGATCATTCTAGAGAAGGACTGGAGATTGGGGGAAGCAGGATGAGATTAGAGGCTGAGCAGGGGTGTGGTGGAGTAGCCTGGGTGGGTCTAGCAGCAAGGAAATGGAGAGAAGTGGAGAGACTTTGCTCTGTAACAGCTCATGGCAGAATAGGGACTCAGGTTTTTGATAATATTCTTGGAATTAAATATGCAGACTCTATAATTTTTGAACGATCTCAAGCTTTGCACCAACCCTAATGAATATATGCCCAAATATCCAATAGTTGCTAAGTGTTAAGCATAAATTAATCTGCATTTAAATTGAGATTCACTTCAGACAACAGACTAATGGCTACCCATTTTACTCTGGGCAGGAGCAAGGCATTTCATTTCTTTCAATAATCCCTAGTGACAATAGGCTGGCAAAGCAGTTACACTGGATGCATATTGAAAAGATCCTTTCACAGTGTGGGACCTAGTGTGAATGCAATGCAGCTTTAGCGGCATGGCAGATTCTTGGTGGTAAGATGAAATCTCTTCCCAGCCCCAATCCTCTCCTCCCCAAGCCACCTTGAGGGAACAAAAATAATGACTCTATCCCAAAATGTGCCTCTTTTGTATTGCAGGTCCAAATGCTCAAACAACCCCATGAAAAATGATGGTTCAGTCCTTGTCTTTCCCTCCAAGGGTTAACCTGGAAGGTGAGATTCTTTTTTTTTTTTTTTTTGGAAGGTGAGATTCTGAAGCTGATTTATATTACAGGGAAGCAGAGTGAAGGAGAAAAGAGGAAAAACACATTTATTTGTGTGAAAGAAAAAATGAAACAGAAAGGTTGTGAAAGTCCTTCCCAGAAAGGGAAGCCAATGGATCCTGACAAGCATGTTCTCTTTCATGCAGAACCAGCTGAGGAGTACTTCTTACTGAGACCAAAGGGCTCCCTGAAACAAAAGCAACCTCAGGGGGGTGAGGAGGGAGTCATGTGCCCTAATGGGATGATATTCTGTGGCCTTGTCTGTGGAGAGAGCTGTCTGACCTGGCTACCTTCTGGTTCCTGTTAAAATAAGTTCTCATGGCCAGCTTTCAGAGAGGCTTTGGGAGGCAGCAGGCAAAGGCCCTGGAGTCAAAACACAGGAAAAGAAAAGGCTGAAGGAGGTGGGGATTGGGTCTCCCCCTGTTTGTCACCCTTCCTGCCAAATCTTGCTGCTACCTTTAATATGTAAAGGCATCACTGTCTTCTTACAGCAATCTTGGCTCTTTCCCCTTGCACCCCTGCCTGTCTGAGAGCTTGGAGCAGTCTGATTTACATGGAGGAGAAGCTAGGGCTCAGGGAGGTGAGGGGATGGGTCCCTGAGCACACAGCACAAGACCAAGATTTGGCCCTCATTCCCAGCTCAACATTGCTGCCCAAGATGAAAAGAAGGCTTTAGCCATGTGGTCAGCACATGCATGCATCAGGTGTTGCCTTTTCCAGATTCTTCTCCGAGCTGTGAGGTGATTAACCCTGATAAACAAAGCCCCCTCCTTTCCCCTGGGTAATGCTTTACCTCTCACAGAAACATAAGACTATCTCTTAGCTGGTCTCCCTGCTTCTCCTCTTTACCTCAGTGTATCAATCAAACTCCCATACAGCAGCAGTTTTTTGTAAAGCATGAGTCTGTCGCTGCTTTTACTCCCTTCTCTCTAAACCATTAGCATATGATTTATGTGTCCTTCATAGCCTGGGTCACGCGAAGCTTTCTCTCCCATATTCTGTGGTCCAGCCACGGCAGACCTTGGGGTTTCTAGCCTGTCCGGGCTGTCTCACATCTAGCTCTTCTTTCAGGCCCCTTCCTCTGCCTGAAAACTCTTTCCTTTGTCTGACCAGCTCCTCTGCTCTGCTCAGTTCCTGCCTTCCAGCTCTCCTTGGCCCCAGTCTAGGTTGGCAACTTCTACTTTTGCTACTATACCACCAGATAAGTCTTCCAGCCCAGCCCTCATGACACTTGGTTGAAATTCCTTGTTTAATCATCCAATTTCCTTGCTAGATTGAGCTCTGATAGGGCCTATGGTTCTTGTTCCCTTGTCCCAGTGGCTAGCATGCTACTTGGCACATAGTAGGTGCTCAATAAACATTTGAATAAATGGAGAAGTAACCAAGCTCCTGGGCTTTACCCAGCAGTAAGTGTGGGAATGCTCCTGGGCGTCCTCAGAAAGTGGCTTGTGGAGTCTGGATTGGATATCCCCACCATTTGTGACAAATACCTGGAAGGGCACTCCAGGGAAGGCTTTTAATTGAGACACATCTGCAGCAGTGTCAGAGTCAGGGCCAAGAATTCCCTCTACAGCTTGTAGCATTCCTTTTTATTTGATTTTTAAAAATTTAGTGATGACTTATTTTTAGCTACCGAGTAAAGTGAGTTGATTCTCCAGATGCTGTGCGGTCTCCATTAGAAGCTCATCTCGGTTGTCGAGGGATGCCTCCGCCTCACACCGGAAACTGGCCCATCGCCGGAAGTCGTCTTCGGTTATGACCTGCGGGACAAGAAGAGGCTCTCTCCCAATGTAGGGTGAATCCCACCCCATTTTTATATGCTGGGCATCCTATTGGCTTGTTTGAGCTTCCCTATACAATTAGATGTAGGAATTACAATTCCCTACACAATTATTTCTCCTCAATGATTTTTTGTGAATGCACAAATCAATAAAATATTGATCCTCATGTTCTGTTATCACCATTGAGCCCCTGCTGTGCTCTAGGCACTGGAGTATAGCAGTGATCAAGATGGACAAGATCCCTGCATGCCTGGGCTTATGTGCTCGTGGAGGGTGAGAGACATTAATCCAAGTAAATTATTTAAAAGGACAGATAATTTTAAGGGGTTCTTTACAGAAAACAAAGAGGGTGACATGCTGGAGTGTGACAAGATGGGGGGAAGCTGTGGGGTTATTTCATTTGGATCTTCAGTTCTCTTAGACAAAGTGACATGCAAGTTGAGATCCAATGATGGGAAGGGGTCAGTCATGGAGAGGGACAGATGCAAAGGCCATGAAACAGCAATGAACTCAGCTTTCTTTCTGTTCACGTGAATACACCAGTTGGCTAAAGGATAGAGAGCCAGAGAGAGAAGAGGCAGCAATGAGCCTGGGAAGGTAAGCAGCAGTCAGATTTTGTATAGCCTGGTAGACTATTCCACCAGCTATTGGACGTATCCAATAGCTGGAATAATCTGACTGAAGGGCATATCTTCCTCCCTTGGAGTCCATAGCACGTTTAGACCCCTCTGTTGGCGTCCTTATAGCAATAAATGATTCTTATAGCAATAAATGTCTCTTATAGCAATAAATGATTCTTTTGTCCAACAATCAAATATTCCTTGCTTTTCCTTCTGCACATAGCACTATGGGGAAAACCAAGGGGACACAGGTAGGCCTTTGCTCTTGAGGAATTAATAATCTTATTAGAGGAGGCAAAATAGGCACAAATAATTTCAATGGAAAATAGAAGGTGGTAAGGATATACTCACAATTTATGGATAGTAAGCACTGGTCACTGTCTCAGGTACTGTATATGTGTTTCTTTATTTAATCTCCATGATAACTCTATGAGGTAGGGAGCATTAGTGCCATTTTACAGATAAGAAAATCCCAAACTCACAGAAGGTGAAGAAACTTTCCCAAGGTTACAAAACAGGTAAGTGGTGAGATTGGGACTTGTACCCAGGTAGGTCTGAATTTAAAGTGGGTGCTCTTAAACTTTGTTGCACTAAGCATCATAAAAGAGATGAAGAGCGCTGGGGATTTATAGAGAAGAAACCACTTTTAGTCATCTAGAAATGCATGTCATCGTAGCTCCCCTATCTGATTTTGGGTGCCTTATTAGATGCCCCTACTCTGGGATTCATATCTCTTTGCCTGCCTCCCTTTCAGGGTCTGCAAAGTCAAAGGTCTGTAGGGTGAGAGGTGGGTAATTACATGACTATAGCTGGGCCAAGGGCAAGGCAATGGGGAAGATAGGGGCTGTAACCAATTGCAGAACATAGGAGAATATACCCTTCATCAAAGTGATCAGCTACTACAAGGCTTGAGCTATTAGCTGCTATTCAAGAATGGAGACCTGGTTCATCAGATCCTCTCAATTTTTAAGAGAAACTAGAAATCTAGATTTTTATGTGAGCACATAGTATCTCCCAAATGTCAAATCTAGGCAAATACTGCAAAATTTAAAAAGGTTACTTTGAGGGTAAAATTATGACTTTAAAAATTATTTTATGAGTTATGGGTTACCAATTATATGTATATATAATGAAAAACAGGGAACAACAAAGCCACACTGATATGGAACCTTGCCATTCAGAGTTCTGCTGCAGCATAATTGTCACAATCCTGGGTCTTTGTGGTGAGTCAGAATGGCTAATTTTGAAAAAATATATATATTTTTAAGATTTTTTTTATTTATTTATTTGAGAGAGAGAGAATGAGAGACAGAGAGCATGAGAGGGAGGAGGGTCAGAGGGAGAAGCAGACTCCCTGCTGAGCAGGGAGCCCGATGCGGGACTCGATCCTGGGACTCCAGGATCATGACCTGAGCTGAAGGCAGTCGCTTAACCAACTGAGCCACCCAGGCGCCCTAATTTTGAAAATATTAAAACAACCAATATTAAGGGTCTTCTAAAAAGAAATAGAAAAGATGGATTCAGGGTTGAGGCCTTATAGCAACTAAAGAAGGAATTTATTTTTACCTTCTTAGCGATGCACAGTGTTCGAAGGCCATCTCTTGCATACAAGTCTAGATGCTTCTGGGTCCTGGCTCGGATTTTCCTCATCTTCTTTTCCACATCCATGTCAGTTACTGTCAAATAGTTATTGTTTCCCATGAGGTCATGTACAAATGCTTGGGGATCCTTGTTTATAACACTCGGAAAGAGTGAGGAAGAATCCCCTTATAGCCCACCCCAGAAATACAGAAGATCTCTCTTGGTTGTCATGATGTCCCATGATGTCCCATGATAACTCCAGGAATCATTAAATTCTCTGCTTTCTATATCTGATCATCAAAAGCCTGGCTGAGAAAAGTCCTATTTAGGGATGGTGGGTTGTCTTAGGTATTGTTCCCAAATATGTGTTTGTATCAGAATCACCTGGGAACTTACACAAATAATAGAGGTTCCCAGGTCCAGTTGAAGCCCTGCTGAATCAGGGGACAGAAGGCTGAATCTTTGTTGTTACCTCAGGTGTTTTCCATGTAGCTAGTTTAGCCCTGGATGATCAACTGTTGCTAAGTCCATGATCCCCTCTGTCATCTACTTCAGTCTTTATACCAACTCAAGATAGCCATAGATCTGAATCTCATTGCTAAGTTCTTCATCACATTGGATTTTTTGAGTTAGGCTTTCTTTCTATAATAGGAAATTGGCCCTAGAAAAAGTATTTTTTGCATTTCCTATAAATCTAGCATGAAAAAATATTTCATCCTGTTGCTCAAAGTTCCCTTTATGAAGTCTGATGTGTTTTCTTTTATCTTTTTCTCCTGAAAATCCAGTACTTTTATCTATCAGATAAAAAGAATTTTTCAGCCTGGGTTGGTGGGTATGGGGCAGGATTGATGCCATCCCTACCTCCTTTACTTAAGATGTCACAGATATCACTGATCAGATGTGGCACTGTGTAAAGCTGAGTTGGGAAAAGGCTTCCAAATCCTTCTTTACCAGGGCTGGATTGCAATCTTCTAGAGGCCCTAGGTAGCAAGCAGGTTTTGTGCACCTCATCTATTCCCTCCATATAATGCAAAATTAAACATACAATTCCTTACAGTAAAATAAATATAAGGAAGTCCAACAAATCTCTGATTTTTCCCATGATGCTATTCCAAGGCTGTTTCTATGCAATATAAAAATCCTTTTAAAGATTATCTCATTTTCCAGATACTACTTTTTCCCTGGTGCATTAAGCACACTCTTTGTGCTTATTGAGCACTATTGTCTCATTGAGCACTGTCTACAATATTTTATTTTCAAAGACATTAACCTCCCTGAGATGAGTCCCTTTTGCCTTCTACCTGTGTGCCTTGGAGTTGCTTTTTTGCTCAGGCTACCAGGAACCTCAGGGTCAAATTGAAAGTTCAAACACTGTAAATATATTACACCTAGGGTTATTTTCTTCTCTCCTTTTCAAAGCTTTGATTCTCAATTCTTATAGTAATATTGTGTATGCATCTTTTATTGGAAGCATCTCTAATCCATTTTGGAATCAGGTGAGGAACAAAACAAAACAAAAAACAAAACCAAAACATCTCCAAGGGAGCTTTGATGGCTGTTGCCCAGGGATAGAGTGCCATGGTTCCCTTGACTCAGAAACACCGAACTCACTCGTCTGCCAGAGTCTGGGGATGAAGAGACCGAATTGGTTCTCTTCCCATTCTAAACACTCATCAATCCCCATGAACCTCTTGGCTTTGATCCACAGCTGATAATACAGGAGGCACAGGGCTGCCTGGGCAATTCTAAAGCTTGGCTGGAATCTACTATCCTGGGAGAATCATAGCCCCATAACTGTCTTCTTCTTGTTAGGAAATGGCTGCACACTAATTCATGCTGCTCCAAAATTGGACACTGATATGTAGGGACTTTGGAACATTTTTCTGGCTTGGCTCAAGTTTATGAAAATCCATTTGGGGGAGGCTGGGGAAAAGGATGATAAAGAGGGACACCTGAGGCTTCCCAGAGAAAACTGAGCCTGGTACAGAATTCTGGTGGCATGGAAAAAGCTCTGAACTGGGATTCATGATACCTGGGCATAGGATTTACCACTGGTCAGCTATGTACGTCTCTTAAGTCACGTCCCTTTCTGGGTTCAGCTGGCTTCTCTCCAAAACTAAGGGTTAGGACTACAGTATGTTCTAGGGTATGTTAATGAGTGTCATAGTAGAAAAAAAATTGTATATGGATAATCTGTGTTTAAATGAGTTTAAAAACCAGAAATTGGGATAAAGTTAAAGAGGTTTCTCCAGTGTAAGACTGTCCTAAGTCTTTAATAAGCTCATGAGCACTGTAATTATCCAGGGCAAGGAGATGCAGAATGCAGCATGAACCTGCTTTGAAGAAAGCATCTGTTGCCTCTGTTCAAATTAGGATCTGCCGGAACCAGGTGACACTATAACTCAAGCTCCTTATTACTGTTCTGTGCTGCCTCTTAAACCAAGGAACCCTCTTCCTAGAGCCCTGGTGAGGTGGGACTCACCACACGCTGGGTCTTCTAGCAGGTCCATGATTACCGAGTCTGCGCCCTTGGTGTAGATGATGATCTCACCCGTCAGTGGGTGCCTCACAACCACGGACATTCTTTTCCTGACAGAGTCAAAGCCCAGGGTGCAGAGGACATCGAAGGTGAGGCAGGTGCCTTGGGGCAAGCGCACGGTCACCTGCTCAGGTGTCCGGGACATCAGTGTGAAGCTGTAGGCATGGGCAGCATGCACCAGGGCTGCCTCATCAGGGCTCTCAGCCTCATAATAGAGCTCAGGGCTTGCGAGGCATAGAGCTGAGGCCTCCACCACCTCCTCCAAGGAAGCATCCAATCCAGACCCCTGGATGTTGCCCTGGTCCCATGTGCTGCTCCTATAGCCACCGTCAGTGGAGTAGCCTCCACTGTACACAGAGGCATCATCTCTCTCTTCTGAGTCTGTGGTAGGCATATTGGCCCCCAAACTCTCCCCTAGGTCAGTGTCAGAGGGCGCAGTAGATGAGAATGACTGGCTGAGGTTCAAAAGCTTCAATCTGTGGAAGAGCTGCTGAATCTTCTCCAGGGACGTCCCCAGAGCCTTGGTCGAAGGTGGCATGGTGACCTTGTCGTCAAAGGAGGGAAGTGGAACATTAACTCTCAGTGTTGGAAAAAATATCAAGCTGTTTTATGGAAGAATATGAAGGTCATTTTGTAATAAAGGGGTTTCAGTGATTATGGACAAGTCTTCTCTCCTCTGTGAGCCTCAGCTCACTTACCTATAGCATGAAGGAATTAGGCTAGATAGTTCTTTCCAGCCCTGACATTCTAGGGATTGGTAATGCTCAATTTTACCATCCTGCTCTGGTCATGGACAAAGGAAAAAAAGGAGACAAAAGCCAGACCCATATTAAGGGTTCACATCATCTGGGTCCTTACCATGGTTTGTTTGCTTTATCCTTGCATTCAGCATCTTATCTTACCCTCCCTAGCAACTTTGGGGGATGCTATGTTATCCCAACTTCTGGATGAGGAAACCAAGGCACAAAGAGGTTAAATAAATTGGCCATGACCCCCAGTGCGGGTAATAGAGCTGCACTCAAATCTGGGGCTGCCTGGCTCCAGAGATTGAACTCCTGAGCTACCTGCCAGCTAATGTATCCCCATTAATTTGAAAATTGAAGTTGGATGCTGTCCTTCCCAAAATGTACTTCTTCCTTTCTTGAAAATAGAGTTAATTTCTCAGATAACGTTTCCTACTTCCCAAAGCTCCCTAAAAATTTTTGATAGCTTGGTAAATTTTCAGTGGCTGGAATGACTGTTCAGAGTGGTTTCGGATCAAGGTATAATAATGGGAGCCTCTGGTTTTGTACCTGGGTGAACCTTCTTTTTCCTGATTTCATAGCCACCACTTATAACACTCAATTATTCTCATCAGTCACTCATAAGGAAGCTTGGGTGAGAGTTTGTAGATAATTGAAGATCAATCTATCTTTAGTACTGAAAAACAATTCAGAGTATAAACTTCTATAAATGGCCATCCAGCTGCATTGTTTCTAAATTGGCAGAACTTCACCCATGGTGTTAATTATTATTATTATTTTGCCCTCACATAAAAGTAGAGACCAGTATAACATGATATTATTATGGAGTTGTACAGATGGTTCTGCTGTGTGTTAACCATATATCCTTTGTTAAGTTGCTGAAACTCTCTGAGCCACTGTGTCTTCACTTGTGAAATCCAAGGACATAACTCCTAGGGTTTTGGGGTTGTGATTAAATGGTAATGCAGGTGATGTATTTAGCATGGAGCCTGACACATAACAAGTGCTTAGTAAATATTAACTCTTAATATCTACCATACAGACAGACAGACAGATACAGAATTTGAAAGCTACATAGAAAGCTCATATATAACTTCTTCCATTTTATTTAAAAAATGAGGAAACTGAGGCCCAGACAAAATAAGAAATAAAGTCTTACAGTGATAGAATGGTGATACTGTGACTAGGGCTCAAGTGTCTTATCTCTCTGTTCAGGGCTTCACCCCTTGCCCTAGCTCTCCTCCCATCCATCCCACCACCCATCCTCGGTGATCCTTACCCTCTGCCTGGGCTCTGTGGTTGTGGAGACCATGACAGAGTTGCAGATGGTTAGGGCAAGGAAGAAGTCAGCAATGGAGGAGGTGGTGGAGGGGGAAGATTTGGCAGGTTTGGTGTCTGACAAGGTCTCCAGCCACAGGGCAGCATCTCGCACTTTGGGCAGTAGATTTTTATCTGGAGTCACATCTTTTTCCTGAGAAAGAAAGGCCTGGATGAGAATCTTTCCTGAAGGGACTGGGGAGGAAGCCCCTCCAGCAGATTCTTTGCACACCTGGGGAAAGGATGATACAGTCTTTCCTGAAGTCATGCTTCCAGCACATCTCCTCCTCCCACAGGCCTGGTCAATGCATTCTTAACTGATTCCTCCCTTTCCCTCAACCTTGCGTGTCCATCAGTTATAGACTCTGGCAGCCCTTCCCTCACAGTTGCTCCGTGCAATTTACCCTTCAATGCTGAAGCTTTCAGCCAGGCACAGACCTCTAGTCCTCAAATCTGGATTTCTGCATCAGCCTCTGAAGTGATGTTGCTGCCTCTCCTCTCTTTTCTTTCTAACCCTTCATATGTATTAGCCATGCATCTTTCTAAAACATCATTTCCCTCAAGGCATTCTTGAGCTTGAAAACCTTCAGGAGATCTTCACTGTTAGCATAGTCAGTTCAGTCTGCCATCTAAATTCTACCATAGTCTGCATTCCCACTCTTTACTCCCACTGCTTCTCTGTGCAGACCCTCTGCTCAGCCTGCTGGTTTGTTTGCTGCCTCCTGGATGTATACTCATTTTTAATGCCTCTGATCATACCTTGTTTAAAAAGCCCTCTCCTGTCTACCAAAATCCTACCTAGACTTCAGTAGCCATGAGAAGTTCCATATATCCATGAGATCTTATCCAGCCCAAAATGAGTTCACAGTCTTCTGAGCCACAACAACATGTTCTTGAACTCATAATGTCCACAGCAGTCAGGTGGATAAGGTGAATGAGGGTAGTGGGCCAAGGTACAGATGAGGACACTGTGAGATCGTAGGGGCTGTGAGACCTGGCAAGTCCTACCCTGCCTAAAAGGTGGCAACTGTTCTGCTAGTGAGGTGCTCTGGTGCTAGTCCAGTTTGCCAAATCTATTGATTTTTTCAAGATAAAGAAAGATGATGTGAGAACTCATTTTTTTAAAAAGAAAAATCTGTGGGCTGGATCTGACTCATGAATTTCCAAATTTTCACATTCTTGTAGAAACTGCCATTTGTACCATCCCTTTGGAATTCACCACATATTGACCTATATTTTAAATTCAATTTTCTTGTATCCATGTTGAATTTCTCTAGAGATAAGGTAGGAGCCTCAGAGATAGAGACTGCATGTTCCACAAAGCTATACATTCTATAGCCCCAATTATTGCTTTGTTTGAAGTAGAAGCTCAACAAACATTGGCTCTTAACAGATATGACAAAAGCCACTGTGCAAAGAAATTTCCACACAAAACCATTTCTATCAGTGTTCATAGTTTACAGGTTAAAGTGTAGAAGAAAGACAGTCAATGGTTGAAAAGGATGAACTGAAGGAATCTTGATTAATTTGTGCAGGGTGAAGACTGAGTGCCAATGAGCTAGCAGGTTTTACAAATAAGAACCCAAATTGAGACCAAAAAAAAAGAAACAAAACCCTGTGGAGGTAAGAGTCCTTAGACTGTGTCTTCTCTGATTACCAAATGCAGTGACTCCAGAAGTCAGACTCTATTCTCCCTGGGGCTGCTGGCACAGGTGAGAGCACAGGAGAGGAAACTCAGACACCCCAGGGAGCTGCTTGATGCCTGCAGGGATGAGAGTTCAGCTTTCCAACAGCACAGGGAGGTGAAGGGAAATGGACTGGAGCAGTGTTCTAGCCTTCATTTGGAGTGCTCTCCAAGAGTCAACACTACACTTCCTCTGGTTCATACCATCTTAGGAAGACAACATCCAGAAAAAAGTACTTATTAAAAGGAAGAGTGCTAGTAAAACTGCATCAAGTCTGCATTTCTCCTCACTGCCTTGTGATAAGCAATGGTGAGCCATCCATACCATATGGTGTCACTATTTTCAGAAAGCCTAGGAAGGGAGCATGCACTATCTAACATCTTTGCCTTTGAAAGCAGTCTTCTTAGCAGGAGTTCACATTGAAAAAGCTCTTCCTACTTTTCCAAGCAATGTAATTTATGTGATCTCACTGACTTCTCACAGTCCCAACTTAACTGAAACGCAGAAAGATGGGCTGACTTAACCATTGTCACTCAGTGAGTCAGCATAAAGCCAGAATCAGATGTCAGACCCTATGATTGCAAGTCTAGAGTTTTCCTTTCCTTTCCATGGTCATGGTAAAGTAGCAGTGTTCCCTTATTAATGCTCCTTGGCAAACTCCCCTAGCCAGATTCCGGGCTCCACCTACTGCCTGTTATCAGTGTACCATCATCACTCAAGGGGCTCTGAGCTCTTTTCTTAAGGTAGTAATGATAGTTCTTATTCACATAGTACTTCTTACATTCTGGGTACATTCATTATCTCATTGTGGCTCCACAGCAACATTATGTGTTGAGTATGATTATTCTCCTGGTTACCCATGTATCAGATGAGGAAACTGCTGCCCAAGGAGATTAAGTGTTTTTCCCAAGATCACACAGTAAGTGAAAGAGACTCCTTTACTTGATTTGAAATAATCCAACTAGAATTCATGCTCTTAACCTCTGTGCCAGGCAAGATCCTCCACGAGAAGGAAGTAGCCTTTGATACTTGCTGACAGCCAGCATCTTTAGTGTTTCGCATCCCAAGCAAAACTAATAGGTTGTATATCTAATCCTTAGGACTCAGCAGATAGTCTCAGAGATTATAAAAGGGATTATGGGAATCTTCTCTTTTCAGGAAAAAGATTTCATTTGGGGCTGGGGGTATACATGAATGGGATGCTTTTAACCCTTACCACAGATACACAGAGCTGCAAACAAGCTTGGAGGTAATCAAAGCCAAATCTCCCATTTTCCTGATGATAAAACTGAATGTCAGAGAGGTGGGAAGTGAACTACTCAAGACTGCACAGTGAAATAGGGTCAGAACTAAGGCAGTTTTCACACCAGCTGACTCCCAGCTTCTGATAACATACTGCTTTGCTCCAAGCTATGCATTATGTATTTCCAAATGGTGACTATGTTAAAATGATTTAATAGTTATTCATTTCTTGTTCATTTACACTTTAGTCTATGAGTGCCACAAGGACAGAGACAGTCAATGATATGTCCCCAGTGCCTGGCAGACTGCAAGCACACAAACTTTTGTTTACTTTTGAGCTACCCCACCACTGATTAACTCATGGGATCTCTTTGTTAGAACTCTTTAGAGGTAGAAGGGAAAAGATGGTGGAGGAGTAGGGGACCCTATTCCTGGTCCCTGAATTGAGCTGGATATCTACCAGACCACTCTGAACACCCACAAAATCAGCCTGAGATGTAAGAAGATAGATCTGGATCTCTACAAGCAGAATATCACAAGCAGTTGGTTTTGAGGTATAAAGCAGGGAGCCATGATTCTGCAGGCAGATATTGGAAGATAAACGGAAGGGGGAGGGAGCCCAGCCATGGGGATCCTACACCATTGGTGAATGAAAGCCTCCCACGCCGGGGGCCGGGCACAGACTTGCAGATCGGTAGCGGTGGGGAAAGGACTTTAGGGTAGCCCCCTGGACTGAAACCTGGAGTGGCGGAGCCACGGGTGCGAATTGGGGGTGGCTGGCGGTTTTAGAAGCACAAAGGGCAGAGACATGCCCCAACCTGGAGGCGAGGACTGGGAGTGCTGCTGAGGGGCACACAACCCAGGACGCTGAAGTTTTAAGCAGCACAGACAGAAATGGAGATAGTGTGGCCTGGAGAGCTCACTGACGAACAGACTGTGATCTCTCTGCTCTGAGGCACAGGGTTGGAAATGGTCTCTTCTGCTCTGACTCTGGAAGAGATGGGGAAAGCCTCCAGGGAAAGCTGCCAGAGAACAAAAGCCCTAAAAAACCAGTTTTCACTGAGTGCATCCCCCCCACAGGGGGCAGGGCAACTCTGCCCAAACAGGGTTGCCTGAGTAACATCCTGGCAGGCCCCTTCCCCAGAAGACAGGCTGGGAGAACAAGAGGCCAACAATCCTAGCTCCCTATAGAATGGGTGCATCTTGCTTGGGTTGTGGTCAATAATTTGGACTCTGTACACTCCCTCAACCACCCCTTAACAGAATGACTAAGAAGAGGAACCCCCAAAATAGGAAAGACTCAGTGACTGTAACTTCTGCCACAGATTTACAAATGGATACAGATATAACCAAGATGTTGGAAATGGACTTCAGGGTAACAGTTATGAAGATGATAGCTAGAATGGAGAAATCGATTAATGGCAACATAGAGTCTCTAAGGGCAGAAATGAAAGCTGAACTGGGAGAACTTAAAAATGTTATCAATAAGATCCAAACTAATTTAGATACTCTAACAGCTAGGGTAAACGAGGCAGAAGAATGAATTAGTGATCTAGAAGAAAAACTGATAGAAAAGAAGGAAAATGAGGAGGCCTGGGAGAAACAGCTTAAAATCCATGAAAACAAAATTAGAGAAATAAGTGACACCATGAAATGTTCCAATATCATAATTATTGGGATCCCTGAGAGGGTGGAGAGAGACAGAGGGCTAGAAGATATATTTGAGCAAATCATAGCTGAGAACTTCCCTAATCTCGGAAACAAAACAAACATTTGAGTCCTAGAGGCAGAGAGGACCCTCCCAAGATCAAGGAAAACAGGCCAATGTCTCAGCATGTAATAGTAAAACTCGCAAATCTTAGAACCAAGGAAACCATCTTAAGTGCAGTTAGGGGGAAGAGATTCCTTATGTACTGAGGGAGGAACATCAGAATAATGTCGGACCTATCCAGAGACCTGGCAAGCCAGAAAGGGCTGGCAAGACATATTCAGGGTACTAAATGAGAAGAACATGCAACCAAGAATACTTCGAGGCAAGGCTGTCATTTGGAATGGATGGAGAGATGCAGAGCTTTCAGGACTGGCAGAAACTGAAAGAATATGTGACCACTAAGCTGGCCCTGCAAGAAATATTAAGGGGGGTTCTCTAAAAGGAGAAAGACCCCAAGAATGATATAGAACAGAAATTTACAGGGACAATCTATAGAAACAAGGACTTCACAGGCAA